TTGTGTGAGAGTGTAGCATTAGGATTTAGATAGAAGTTAACTCGAAGATAGAAACCTAAACTCTGAAGATGAGAGTTATCAACAATGGTTTTACTCTCCCTTATATAGCTCTCATTAATAAGTACAATGAGATAAGATCTAATTCCCACCATTCATCCCACTCCAAATGGATGAATGACGTGACGGATAACCCTAACAAGCACACTGATAGTTGATATGACGCTCCCAACTAACACACTCAATCCTTACCTACAAGCACACGGATTGTTGACGTGATACTATGAACTAACATATCCACTCTCTACCTACCAAGCGCGCGGATCGTTGACGTGGTAGCTATGACTAGTGCATACTAAAGTATATACATCAACATTTAGAGTAACTTCTACTATGTTCTAACTAACTAACGATGGTTACAGAGAGTGTGCTTGGGACATGCAGATGAGTTATAATCCTAGTCTTCTAAAATCACGATGAGCTACTACAAAACCATCTAGATTAAATTTGAATGAGAGTGAAAGTGAAAATTTTTCATAATTTTTCACAATAAAATTTGTCCACAATCTTTTTTGTGAATATACTATTTCAAGCTCTACATAAATGTTGAACCAAACTAGGACAAATAGTTCACAATTCAAATCCATGAAATATTGAGTTATAATTTATATGATACAATTCAAGGTCTCTTCATAATTAACTTTTGGAATAATTAATGATGCTTTATACTCCATCACTCTAGTCAAAAAATTTATATCCCAACAAGCCACAAGGTACATATGAACTTGATGTTTCTCCATGCAACGAAGATAAATATCAGATAGGTTAGAATTCGGCTAGTGTGGTACTAAATTCCTATCAAGTTCATCTATAGATTGCTTTGATACCATTGTAACACTTGATTTTAGAGAAAGATTTACTTAAAGATGAAAACATAAACTTTGATAAATAATAATTCAACAAACACCAATGATTTCGCTCTCCTTTATATAATTCTTACTAACAAGTACAAGAAGATAAGATCTTATCTACACCATCCATTTCACTCTTAGTGGATGGTTGACGTGGCGGATAATCTTAACAAGCACACAGATTGCTCACGTGACGTTCTCAACTAACACACTAACTAACACTCAATTCTTACTTACCAAGCAAAAAGATCGATGACTTGACAGTTATGATTAGTGTACGCTAGAGTAACTATATAAAAAATGTGAATATTCTTTACTTTAATTTTAATTACTTAAAGATAATTAGAAAACATCAGACATAATTCTACGCACACTTTTATTTGATACTAAAGTTGAGAATATTTGTATTGATCGGGCGTTGAGATTCTTTGAGTCTATCAAATCTGATAGTTTGATTGTATTTTATCAAGTTCATATTAAGAACATCAAGCTTTTCAATCTTGTTATTGAAATGGTTAGTCTTGGTTCACCGTTTAGGTTAACAGCACATCAAGTGGAGTATGCAAGTGAAGAACTTACTTTCAGTTATATTGGCGGATGGAAAAAGGCAAAAGTATCATCTTTTGTTCAAATTGTTGTTGTTGTTTGATTTAAAAAACTCAACAAATTATTCTCTTATTGTTGGATATTTTCTGTTGCATTCTATTCATCAACTGTTGAAAGCACTTTGTATTTGGACGTTCAAATGAGATTTATTGTAAAAATCTATTTATGTTGTCTTCCTCTTCACGGACGTCACACAAGTTTCAAGTTGTTCAAGAACATTTCAAGAAACTATGAATGCAATTTGTCTGTCTTGGGTTCACACTCTTATCAACTTGCTTTCATGGTGCTAAGAATATGACACGTCGAGTACGTGAAATAATGACTCATATTTCTACTCGAGTTGGACAATAAAGCTGCTACTTGATGCGACTTTGGAGAACATCAACTTGATCTTGTTATTCAAGCTATTATTTCAAAATGTTTCAACAAAGAATTTTATTTGACTTTAACTTCCACAATTGAATACTTGCGTAAACATCATAATTTCATCAACAAAAAACGTTTTAAATGTCTCGATGGGTTCGTTGGGGAAAATATTACTTTGAGTTTCAACTCATCATTGTATTATTGTTGAATAGAAAAATCAAAATAATTATAATTTAAAACCGACTGTCATATTAAAAATTTGTTTTATTTTCATTGATCATAATAGTTTTAGAAATTGATATTCTATTCAAAACCTTTTAGTATTTTACAGTGCTGGTAACAAAACAAGAAATAGCTATCTATAGATTCATCTTTTGTACTTAAAATGTGACATGAATAGAAGGTACACTTTCCAAATTACTATTTCAGGAACAACATGAAAGAACAATTTTTACAAGATTGCCAATAATGCTATTCTGCACTTTGTTTGAGAATGTGATTTGCTCATTGCAATGTCATTTGAAGTTAATCTCAAATTGAGAATAATGTTGTGATTTGTTTTGTTGGAAATCTAATCGTTAGTCTTGCAGCAAGAATATATGCGATCGAGCCGTTAAATATAGTAACAATGCACCGGTAGCCTCTTTACCCCATATCTTTCTCAAGAATTTGCGAACATGCTTGTATCAAGCTTCTTGGACATGATCATTAGATTCCGATCTCAACTTGAAAAGAAATTCACCAACTAGTACATTTGAGCTTGAAATGAGAACATATTTAGACTGCTCATCATTTACTTTTGGAATGCTTTTGAAACTTTGCACATTTGCGACTTGAAACACTAGATCAAATGCTAGAATCTACAGATTTTCATGAAGAATGTAATGCTTTTGAAACTGCACACATTTGCTAGTGTATATACTGTTCAAACGCGTGTCCGGAGTGATTTTTCCTTATTAGTTGGGAGAAAGCCCACTCCATATGGTCCTTGATGATCTATTAAGCTAGCTAATAACCAAGTTCAAGATCTTACGTGCCATAAATAAAATTATGATGATTTGACTCATTTATGATAGATTTGGTGATCATTAATCATATTTTAAATTTGTGTCTTATTTATTTGAAATTATTCACTTTAGGCACGTGTCTAATCTACAAAAGAAGTTGCTCATTTCATTACTCCCTTTCGCAGCATACTGACTCAGCGCACACAGCGACGAACTCTCCAATCGAGAAAGCGACCGAACATTGCCGTCGAGAAGTAGAATAGGATCCGGAACGTGCGTTCTCCTGATTTCAGATTCCTGAGTGCATCTGTTCAAGTTTCAGGAAAGGAACCATGGCAGCAAAATATCTGTCAATGAGTCTCCTGATTGGATCGGGACACTATTGGGACAGACGTGTGTACGTGAACGGGGCCTGTAGATGCACACGTCAGATCAAAACGGGGGTCGGTATCAACATGACGAGGAAACAAGGGAACAACATTTGCTGGCAGAGCAGAAAGAAACGAGATACACGTTGAAAACAATATCTCAGTGGAGATACAATTGTAACTGAATACGCTCTGCCCCGGAGCAAGGCACACTCAAGGGACACGGTGCCATGAACTGCCGAGAATCATTTGGAAATTTGCTCACATGTTTTCCTCCATCCTCAAATTCGTACTTGCCCCGAATGAGTGCGGACTTGTGAGTATCCCGCCGGATGAGAGCACAGATCTTGTTTCTCTGATGAAATTCAATTTGGATCCACGTTATTCAGTCTCGGAACAGCGAGTGGGAATCGGTGCTCGACTTCATCTCACCGGAATGAAGAACAAAGATATGACTAAGCAGAAACGTTCCGAGATGGGAAGTGCTTGATTCTCGCGATGACTGTTTGACTCGGACAGTGACTTCACCACAGTTTCCACAGCCTGTACCCGGCCGAAGTATGTGCATTGCATCGGATTCATGAACCGTGTCTAGATTTGGCTGCCATGAGACACATCCAGAGCGACACCGAGGGAAGGATATGCATCTGACCTAGCGTGCCGCGGGATTATAGAGTCCTCCATGTGGGTGTTGGAGTCCTTCAGGGTCTCGAGAAGAGGGCAAATCCAAAACATGCACGCATCAAATGTAACCCTTAGATCCCATCATAGCTGCGTGCTCTCAAAGCTCACTCGCTTGGCATCTATCATCGAATCATAAGCGCGAACTTACTCGCCTAAGGTTTCGTGGAGTTTAAAGACGCCTTCGCCAATTTACCCATCTGGGAAGGGCTTTGTGCATCGTATCCTCACGGGACGCAGTACCAAGGGTTTGCAAACCGGACGTGGTCCCAGGAAAAGACTTTTTCATTCACTAGCCTCGCCCAGCGGCGATCGTCACTCGATCTCGCCATCGCGTGCGCATGGCGAGAGAGTTCTCTCTCTCCCTCTCACAGGTTGCAAATCTCGTGCACCGCGGTGAGAAAATTGCAGATCCGCTCGGTCGGTTCGGTGGCAGCGATAGAGAATTCGCGAGGCGAGCGAGCCACAAATTAGAGAGCTAAGTGTCGCTGGCAAGCCAGCAGCGCTCGACACATCGACCAGAATTCCGAGAGGGCCTCGCTTGCGATAGATTTCTCGCGCACCGATGGAGACCGCCGCGAATCTGCTGCTGCTGCGCTGGAGAATATTTTTCTCGGACGTCCTCCGTCGCAGCACGCCGTCATCGGGCCACGGCGGAAGCCATCTCACCTGACGGACCGTCCAAGTCATCATCCACCCCCGCGCGTGACGCGTGCAGCCTTCGCAGGTTCCCCGTTCGCGTCCTACCCCATCTGGCCGCGTAGTCACCCTGCTGGTGTCACCATCACCCTCGCCCCCTCATCCGGAATCCGGGCGCGGTAAGAAGCGCAAGTAGCAGTCGTCGCCGTGGTAGTTCTGCGGTGGCGGCCACAATCCCTCAACGGGACAGGGGAGAGGCTCGCGCTCGATCGGCAGAGGAAGAAAACCGGAAATAGAACTCGCGCGAAAGCATGAGGCGAGGGCCAACTGGAGCAGATCCGTTCGCGGACACCACCAGTCGGGTCCGGGTCCAGGTCCGCCCGCTGCGTCGCTAGAGCTCGGAGCTTGGGCCGGCTGTGCTGAGCTGAGCTGAGCAAGCTAGGCTGACGTGGTGGCCATATCACGGACGCCAGCGTCCGAGAGTCTGAGGCGCGGGCTTGCGATCTCTCGATCCAGCGTCGCGCGTGCTAATCTCGACAGCAATCGCTCGAGAATCACTCGTTTATCGGGAGCGCGCCATAATTAGAACCAGAGTTGCTGCAAGGGAGCGAGCGAGCGACCGGAGATCTCCGGTCCGCCACCGGAGCGGAGTGCCCTAAGTGGGGCTAGCTGCGCCAGGCTCGAGCAGAGACAGCAGAGAGCCTTTGGGAGAAGGGACCTCGAGAGCAGATAGCGGAGGGAGCGGTACGAGGGCTATGGAGGGCGCGAGATCGAGCTTTCGTTGATGCTGATTACGTTGATGCGGGTGTTGCCATCGACCGGGACGGCGATTTAGTGAGCGAGACGATACTTGTGAGGAAGGGTAGCGGAGGAAAATCCTAGACGTGAGAAGTTGCGGCAGAAAGAAGAATTAAGTTGGAGAGGGAGTTTCGGGGTTCGCGCCGCTCGTGAGCGAGCTTACAGGGCTGTTGGAGGTCACGCTTGATTTTGGCCTGTCTCCCGTTCTCTGTTCTTTCCTCTTCCGGCATCTGAGTCCAGGAGTGCCGTGGTCGTATTGAATACACGCTCAGTAACTCAGATTTGCTGTCAGGCTGGTCGGTTTCGCTCTGGGCCTCAGGTCCTGACTAGTTCCGACAATTGGACGGTGAATAGGAGTGCGTGGGTCTATGGGGAGTGTGGGAGAGTACTTATTGGAGCGTGGATGCGTCGGATATCGTCTTGGCGGTGATTAGCCCGGGCTAGCCAGATTCGCACATTGAGGTAGCTCATGCTTTGTGAGCGCTATGCTGCTGTTTCACGTTTGGGCGTTTTTTCAACAGTCGAATTGAAGGAGATTAGCCGACGAAGTGGAGGAGAAGGAAGATCGCGTAGCGCGGTCCTTCCCATTTCTCCTCATCTGGCTACGGAGGTGTTTTTGTTGAAACGGTTCAGGCCGAGGCTTCAGCGATGGCAATGTGGACTTTCAAGAACGGCATCAGCTCGGTTGTCAATTTCGTTTGCTGTAGTGGTATGTTCACGCTTCTCTAACGCAAATGTCGTCTCTTTGTAAGAGAGCATGCAGAGAAGGTGATAGCCTAAGGGATAAAACCTGAGATCTCTTTTCTTCTGTGGAGTAAATGTTAGAGCGCATTCAATTTCACTATCCTCCTCAACCTGCCTCGGAAATTTTGCTTAATTTTTGATGATTCATTACACAGCTACCATTCTAAAAATGGTACTGTCTTGCATATGTTTACATCGATGGACACAATTCTCTCAAGTGATTAGGCTGCGTTTGAGAAGGAAGACGGCATAGCATGTACTTATGGATCACCGTAGTAGATATTTGAATAGTAATTACAGTTTGTCAGTTTTCTGCCGAAATAATGTTGTGGGCATACCTTGACAATTTGTGTCTTTCTCTTGTCGAGTACGTTAGTAATGAGGTCGAAGAGAGGTTCAGTACCACAACAGCACTACCAGTTCTCTGCTTATAATCAAGCGATAGTTCTGGATTATTAAAATAGCATACTTGCCTACGACCTCTATTTGGCGATGCTAGAAGAGTGCATAGATCAACCTCGAAATTTTTCTTTGTACTTCATATGTGAAGTGACAGATGTTGGCCCACGTAGGGAAATGCCCCAAGCATGGAGGCCTGGAGGATACGATTACTCAGTCGTTAGCAGATCTGTTTTGATCCTGACTTAGGTGTTGAGATTTCGTGCACACTTTTAGGCAAAGTTATGTTTCTGATCTCCGTTATTTTGAATGTGCTTCTCGATTGCAGGCAGAGCATGCCACTAAGCTGTAGCGGAGGCTTCACACAATGGTTAAGGAACAAGATTATATCTTCACTCCCAGTGTTCGGAGCTCTGTCTCTTCACCTTTGTCAAGCCATGACGAAAAGTCCTCCATATCCTCATCCCCTTCCATGATCTGGTCAAGCCCCATCGGCTCTGTCTCGGCTTCTAGCAGCCATCATGGTAGCAACAATGGGCGAGACAGTGTTGTCTCTCCTAGAAACCATAATGGTAGCGGTCATGGCCGAGACCCCGTTTTCTCTCCCAGAAGCCAAAATGGTAGCGGTCATGGCCGAGACCCCGTCTTCTCTCCCAGAAGCCAAAATGGTAGCAGTCATGGCCGAGATCCGGCTGGCTCTCCGAGAAGCTCCCATGGGAGCGGCAATGCCTTCTTTTCTCCAAATCGGACTTCCAATCCGAATAGAACTGTGGCAGGCGGAGCACCCGGTGTAGACAAGGAAAGGAGTGTGGGAAGGGTATTATCATGGACGCAGTATTTTGAAGCTCCTGGAGAACCGCAGGCTGTTACGCCAGAAAGGAAGCACTTGGTTGACCTGTCCCAGCTATTTATGGGCCAGAAGTTTGCTTCTGGAACTTACAGCCGTCTGTACCGTGGACGATACAAACAGAAAGAAGTAGCTGTCAAAGTCGTTAAACAACCTGATGATGACGACGTGATTGCTGAGAGGCTAGATAGGCAGTTTGCGCAGGAGGTTTCTCTGCTTTCAAGACTTCATCACAAAAATATCGTAGAGGTTCGCCACTTTTTGTTCAAGCTCAAGGAGGTCGTAATTTGTTGTTTGTCTATGTTTAGGTGTAATTGTGTTCGTTCGGCGTGGTGAGCAGGCTGTTGGTAATGTCAGTGGATTGTGTTGGTGTCAGTCAAAGTTATTCTCAAAGACAGATTCTAAGGCTGTCTCTTCTAAACCTGTCAGCTACATGTACCGCTTGCCTCTTGAGTTGCGGTACAGGAGACCTGAAGAACAACTTTCTGCTTGTCGGAGGATTGGTTGCGTGTCTACCTGTAGTCATGATGAACATTTCTGACATCTTTCGTTTGTCCTTGCAGTTTGTTGCAGCCATGAGGAGACCTCCTGTATTCTGCATTATCATGGAATATTTGCCTGGAGGTTCTTTGAGGGCGTTTCTTCACAAGAATCAGCCAAATGGTCTACCTCTGAGTCAAGTCTTGGAGTTTGCCATAGACATTGCTCAGGGAATGGATTACTTGCACTCACAAGGCGTTCTTCATCTGGATTTAAAGTCACACAATCTGGTACTAGCAGAGAACATGCGCGTTAAGGTCACTGATTTCGGAGTGGCACGCCTGCAGTCCGAATGTGAGAGCATGACACCGGATTCTGGAACCTACCGCTGGATGGCTCCAGAGATGATACGGAAGAAGGCCTTCTCAACGAAGGCTGATGTGTATGGTTTCGGTATCATTCTTTGGGAGCTGTTCACGGGACAAACACCATATGACGACATGTCTATTATACAGGCAGCATATGCGGTTGTCCACAAGGTAATTTCCCTACTTCGTTGATCAACGTGCACAGTATATTCCATGTCAGAAACATCCTGCTTTTACGTGTGATCATCTGTGAGTCGCCTCGTTTGTGCCGCTCAACTGAAAGTCATGATACAAGTACGCCGTAGCTTAAAATGCCGTCAGATTTGATTGTAGTTTTGCTGCCTAGAGATATCGCCTGATTTTGTCGAGTTTTTTAGCCTGACTTTGTCGAGTATGTCTGGACATGTTTTAGCAGTCATAGGAAGTTCATTAGCACCTACTTGGTCCTACCCGCATGGTCGAATGATCTTTGTTTTTTCTTCTGTACTTTGAAGTGGTTTGAAACCCTAGAACTTCTTTGCTTATCTGCGACGGCTGACATCATAGTTTTCTTTCCACGTCTTTGCAGCACACCAGACCACCTATTCCTGATACTTGCCCTCGTCCTTTGAGGCAACTTATGGAGGAATGTTGGGCGGAAAATCCAGAGAAGAGGCCACATTTTTGGCAAATTGTCCAGAGATTAGACGAGCTTCAGGATTGTGTTCGTCGAAACGTGAGTTTGCGATCGTGTCAGTTCGACTCCGAAAAGCGTAACGCAATAAGACAGTTGATTCATAAATGTAGAGCAGTATGCGCCCAATTTTAGTCTATCTGTATCTGGTAAGCCACAATATAGATACATGAAGTTTGCCATGACGATGAAGCAGTTTAGCTGTGTGTACCATACATGTAACTGATTAGACGACGATAGCAGTACCCTGCACAGGATAGAGTCATTCCTAACCCTCGAGTTATATTCTTCGTTCCTAACTCATAACAACGATCCAAAATGGACGCCCACTTAGAAAAATTGTCCTCTATTACACATTTCTTGTCTGTAGGATACCTTAGTCGAATAGACAGTCGGTTTTCGCTGAATGGACAACACAAAGGTGTCGGATAGCTGCTGGGTCTGAGCTAGGGGTATTGAAAAGTATTAATGTGCTCGGACGAGATAAAATTGCCCCTTTTTAGTCACATTTGTAAGAACTTAACCATGAACCTCAATTTGCACAAGCTTTTTGTTGTCCGTCGGTGGTTTCCTTCATTCACATTTGCACTATGCACTGGATTTGTAATCGTATGTTTCTCCCTCAAGTTTGCCTACTTCCAAAGTGGCAAGGTTAGCTTAAAACAATCTGAGCTTGCGCGACATGTTGCTGCTTGTCCTCTGGAGAGTAGTGGAAAGGGACGATGAATGTGAGATATACATCTCCGAGATGTGAAACGACGGAGATAATGAGAGACTCGTCTTTAAAACGCATGTGTAAATGTGTGCAAAGTATCATATCTTTTGCGTTGAGTCACACGTCAATTTGTGCGCGGAGAACCGGAACCAGATCGGATGATTTGTGAATCAGTTAATGGCCCAGGCCCCCGACTCGCAATCATCTCTGACGCAGGATCAGCGGAACGTCGCATTGCTTCAGGGGACGAAAAGTAGAGTCGGACCTCAACACAGGAAAATTATACAAACCCGTACGGGAAAATTGAAGAGTAGGGAGGGAGTTACAAAATAACCCATTTCGTTTGCAGTCGTTTTTTTTGTGTGACTGAGAAGTTGGTTACTTCAATGTGCAGTAGAGCAGCAAAACCTACACACATGGAAAGCAGAATGTATCTATCAACTGTGTTCATCCTGGTGCACAATTTGGTAAAATGGTTGCTTTTTAGAATAATTTATTGGATAATCAAGAAACAAAATCATCTACAGGAAAGCTTCAACTACAAAAGGCATAAAAGCATGAGTCGTTACATCCGATAGCGCCTAAAATATAATCTACTTAATATCATCAAATATCTTATATCTTCACCTGTCTGCATCCATCAGAGTGGCGCAGCGGAAGCGTGGTGGGCCCATAACCCACAGGTCCGAGGATCGAAACCTCGCTCTGATAATCCAGAGTAGATGCTTCCGATATACTTTTTGATGCTTGATCTTCCGTGACCCTTCCCTTTGGGGCAAAGATTAGCGACGAGTTTGGAGTCGGCGATTTATGGTGTATTATTGGGAAGCAGGTCGAGGGCGGAGAAAGAAGGTCGACCACCAGAAACGGATGTGTTTGAGAGCAAACTGCTTGTGGCTACGAGCGAAGATCATCACGTGGACCGAACCAAAGCAAAGCAGTTTTCGCCCAGAAGCACAGTCCCCCGAGTCCCAGCACCGGTCCAGGGCCACGAGTGCCGACCCCGTGAACAGGTGGCTCGAAGGTGTGGGGGCCTGTGGGAAGAGGCCCTCTGGAAGGCGGTCCGCCCACACATCCAGTCCGCTGACATGGCGATTGCTGAAGTGGCAGCAGCAACAACAGCAGCAGCTGCTGTGGCCTCAAAGTCCCCACCCAGCTCAGCTCAGCTCAACTCGACGCGCCCGACTCCGTGTCGACTGCGTGTCGACCGGCGCTCCGCCAGCGCCAGCAATCGATCGAACGAGCCCGTCGAGCTTTCGTCGAGAGGAGAGAGGAGAGCGAATTTGCGCCCCTCGGTCAGCGCTGCTCACAAAACTGCCTCAGCCCCGACGATGGACTCGATCCGCGCGAGCTGCGAGGAGAAAGGAGGAGGTCGCGCGCTTCGTGTAACTCCATTCCATGCCCGCCGGGTGACGACGGACGACGACGAGGACGATGAGCGCCATCGGCGAGGAATGAGTGAGTGAGTGAGCGAGCGAGGGAGTGAGTGAGAATGCTGTCATTACGCTCCTGCTGCTGCGCTCGGCCTCGTGCGGCGCATTGCGCTCGAAGATTGCCCCCGAGGGGGCAAGGCAGAATCGACGCGAGGGGCAAATGGAGGCGCAGCGCGGAGCCGAAGCGCTACCATGGAGCGGCGGTCGACACGACGGGGGGAGCCGGCGAGGGTAGCGCTAAGCGGCCGGTGGCCGAGGAGCGGTTCGGGGGGGACCGGGTGCGCAGGTACTGGCAGGACGAGGCGACGGGGGAGCTGAGAGTCGAGGAGGCACCGGTGGCAGCAGGTGCAGGACGGGGGGCAAGCGCGGGGCTAGCGGTGGCGGACTTCGTTTTGCCCGCGGGGTATCCGAATTCCGTGTCGGACGACTACCTCGAGTACATGCTGTGGCAGTTCCCGACGCACGTGACCGGCTGGATCTGCAGCACGCTAGTAACCTCGAGCCTGTTCAAGGCCGTGGGGCTAGCGGACGGCGGGGGCACGTACGCGGCTGCGGCTACAGCCACCATCAAGTGGGTGACTAAGGACGGGCTTGGCGCCGTGGGGCAATTCGTGGTCGGCGGGCGCTTCGGGAGCATTTTCGACGAGGATCCGAAGCAGTGGCGCATGTATGCCGATCTGATCGGCAGCGCCGGCAGCGTGTTCGAATTGCTGACGCCTCTGGCGCCCGATCAGTTCCTGCTCCTGGCATCGCTGGGGCATCTCACCAAAGCCGTGGCCAAGGGCTTGAAGGATCCGTCGTTCCGCGTGATTCAGAACCACTTCGCAGTTTTCGACAACGTGGGCGATGTGTCCGCCAAGGAGGAGGTCTGGGACGTGGCGGCGAAGCTCGTGGGGCTCGCCATTGCCGTGCTCATACTCTCGTGGCCCGCCCTCGGGCTCAGCACCTCGTACGCAAAGCTCGTCCTCACGTGGATTTGTATTCGGGCCTTGCACCTTCTGTTGCGCCATCAGTCTCTGTCGGTCGTGCAGCTCTCGACTATCAATTACAAGCGGGCTGCCATTCTGATCCAAGCTCATGTCGAGGGCCGTGGCCCCTTGCCTGGCGTGCTGGAGTGCAATCGGAATGAGCAGCTGTTGATTCCATGGCAGATGATGTCGCCGCGCATCTGGGTCGGCTGTTCCTTGCAAGACATCCTCGATCTGTGCTCCTCCGATCCCTCCCCTCCTCGGATCGATGAGCTGCTCCGCCTGTACAGCGATGAGCACTACATTCTGGTCGTCTCTGGACTCGAGGCTCGCGTTCTGATGAAACAGGGCGCGTCCAGCGCGTCCATCTTGCGCAGCTTGTGGCAAGCTTATTGGTTATTCTCTCGACCTTCTGCCACCTCCGGCAATGACATCGGGCGATTGAGAGCAAGTCTCGACGCTTTGGAGCGCAACTTTGCTTCGTTCAAAACGGAGCTCAAAGCCTCGGGCTGGGATGCGGATCGAATCGCCATTAAAGTTCCTTCAGTGTCTCCTGTGTTTCTGCAATCGCCCTAATTCCTGCGGGCCAGTCTTTCGCCAAATTTCGAATCACGTTATTCTGATCGATCTCCGCAATCCGCTGTTTCTTCACGGCTGTAGATCGTTCACCAGACGTATAGCTGTAGGTGTTGTCAAATTTTGGTGTGATCCACCTCAATGGAGGAAAGAGCAATGATGACAAGACCAAGGGCAATCCAGAGCTGGAACCTTTGGCATTAAAAGTTGTATGGAATGTAGCCAACTGCAAGATACTCACAGAATTGTTGCCTTAGAGAGCAACCTCTCCGTGTCAGTTCGACGCCAGAGCTTCTGATAACGTCGAGTCGAGAATGCCGTGAATTCATTTTCGACTGAAATCGAGTTCGACCTCCGTCAAGCACAGAAGAATTTTGTGTCATTGACATACTGTACAGATTCCTCTTTGAAACGTATGTGATTGACTTCATCATTACGTTTGCTACAATAATCAAATCACCACACAGTTACTCTGAGTTATGTTCCACTCATCAGCCTTCTGCAACGCACACTCCAGATAAATCTGATTTGTCCTGAAACTGTTCAAAAGCTGGGGATGCTTTCATTCTAAACAAAGCAGAAGGGTACAATTCTTGACTTAGTACACGTACGTCAAATTATTTTTCTTATGGCTCCCGAGAAAGGGCTGGACTGGAAGAAGAAAAGATTGTTACTGTCGAATGAAACTAGACTCAAACTGCGGTAAAGACAAGGCGAAAATGTCGAAGAGTCACTGAAGTGCATGTGGGGTAATAATACCTGTCACATGGACCTTCTCTCCCAACACCGGGTGGAAACATGAATGCAGTAGTTTAACGACTATATCCACGAGAAAACTATCCCCCAAAACACGAAGTCTGACGAAAAGAATTTAACTTTATGCCGTCAATGCCAATCATGAAGATTGTTTCCTCACCATAGTTGTTACATCTATTGGATCCGAGTATTCCAATATTCTTTTTTGAGTTCAAATTCGTGATGAGGGATTGTTCACGACAGGTGGCAGACGAACATTCCTAGACATTCACCGAGTAGTCCGGCTATCTATACCTGGACGGAATGTGTCTGTGCGGCGGTCTGGAATAAGCACACAGCTTCAAGAGTTACTATCTCTACTCCAACGAACTGAGACAGTGCCATAAATATCTTGAAGCACACCTCAATCCACCAAGGTAGAGTGCTGTGACCTTAAGTCCATACCTGCAGTGGAGCTGCGTCACTTATCGAAGTCTAATCGAAGGAATGTGGACTGGAATTCTCTACTATCTGTCGTAGCGGTATCTTTCAGTGTTTCAAATCTGGATGAGATCGTCCGTTACTGCACTTGCTCTTGCAGAATCTTCATGAAAATGCAGATCCATGCTTCGACTTGACAGTTTCATTGCTGTGACAAATGAATCTAACCGTGTGTTATTCTGTGTTGTGATTTTTCTGACGTTCATTACTCTTAATCCGCTTTCGATTCTCATCTTTCCACATTTGCATATGTTTAGCTCAGAGATTGCATGCTGCCGTGCTAAAATTTCCAATCATAAAGTTTGGACATTGATTTCTTTAAGCTAAAAGATGATTACTCTGACGTGTCTTTTCAGTGGGAAGGAATAGTAGATCCACAATACTTTTATACCACTGCTTTATGTTCTCACTGAAAGTTCTTCTCGTTTTAGGCACAGAGGGCAGTCTTTCCACAGGTGGCATAGCGGATTAGAAGCATGTAAAGAAAAATATGGCCTGAAGGAACTTTCTTTTCAATTTGTCTTTACTTATAATTTACCCGAGGTCGGTTGGATAAAATAAACCACGGTTTTCCAACCGTGGTTTCCAAGGCGTATATACTTACATCCCTACAGACATTTTCATAGTCTGCAGAGAAGGATTACGTCACTCTTAATGTCCTGATTTTCTGCACGTATGTTTATCTTCCAATTGGACAGTTCCCTTCTCCTTAACCCCTCCATCTCCTTGACACGCGGGATTCTGAAGTTGCATTTGAAGATGGACTAACATAGTTGAACATTGAATAGATCAGACAGAAGGAAAAGTTTAAATTAAGTTGCATATAGAAGTCAATTTCGCCCCATGTTTCAGATTTCGCTCCATGACAGAAGGAAAAGAATCATGAGGCCATAAAATCTACATCCTATTCGCAACTTAATTTTCATTCCACAATGGCGAGATATATTCAACATCCATGCGTAATCATCAAGAATCGTCAAGAAAAGCCAGATTCGATTTTTCAGCGTGCTTAGATCTCTTTACTTCTATATCATGTATATTACAAAGACAGGCTGAATCGCTTGCATATTTACATCTACAAGAGTGCTGTTGAACCAACTTCACTTTCCTTGTCAGTAAAATTTGAACAATTCCAAGAATTGTAGATAAGCAGGCAGGGGAGACGTAATACTTACATTAAGCGTCAGGCCTAGATGACAAGTTTCAATATCTACCAGAATTTGATTTCCTCATGCCGTTTAAACCCATGTACATTCTATCATCCTTCTTGTGTTTGGAGATCAAATCTGGTCTAGATATCAAAAACAGGGCTACATATTCTGGATTGGCCTCCAAGAAGCTCAAGAAATCTGCTCGACTGACTTCGCCGGTCTTTTTTGTATCGAGTCTGTCAAAAATCTTCGAAACCTGTAAAATAAAAATGATTCGGGTTCGTAAGAAGAAGATCAGATAATAGTATGTAAGTCTCAAAATACATGAAAAATATTCTATCTTGCATTCAAATTATTCACGGCCTTCAAAAATTGACTACAATTTGCATAAACTACGAAGATCCTGCAGATTATTCCTCAAGGAAAACTATTCCTTATAATAAATTGCTGTAAGGTACCTGCTCATCGGACAAGGAGGGAATAACATCCTTCAATTTCACGCCCAAATCATCACGTCGCAGATGATCACTCTCGTCCCCAGCACAATACTTCAGAGTTGCTTCCGAAGCCTCAGTAAAATACTTGTGCTTCAAAATAAAAGCGAGGCCGAAGGCATACTGCATACAATTTCCCAATATCAGTTGATTGACAACAACAAGAAGATCATATATGATATATGAAGTCTAAGAGCAAGTCAGCTGATAGACAAACATAAACAGACGCTGAAACATACACGACCTTAGGACATATTTCCTGCTCCGCAAACAGGCTATGAAGAGTTGGTATTACGGAATATCCAAGACTGAAGTACAGCGCACCTGGTGAAATGTAATGTATCCACTACTCTCGCGATCGAAGAATTGGAAGAGCTGACGAGCAAGGGGAGAGTTGGGAAGCTCCAGAGCTTGAGCAAAATCTTCGTAAGCCACGACTCCCCTGAAACCAATTAAAACTGTTTTCCATTACTATGTAAACTCGTGCATCATCGTATAGACATGTAAGAAACGAGCAATTTGATATGTCGGCATGTTTAACAAACATTCATTCCACCAAAAACAGATTTCATATAAGTATAGGAAAAATTTGGTGAGCATAATATTCTGCGAATTCAAATTTTACTTAGAGATCTAGTAGAAGACATACCTCTTTCCGCACCCCAAAGCACGGAACTTTGAGAATAAATGTTTGGCATCTTTGCTACTGAGGTGGAAGAGTCGTTCGATTTTTGTGAATTCCAGAAGAATAGCTCCACTGTCCACGCCTTGCTTGGTAGCTTCTGTGGCTAAGGCTGCGTCCTCGTAACTATGGTCGGTTACCATCACATTGAGAGCTTTAGCCATGGTCACGCGAACTCTTTCTGCAAAAAGTCGTGGATTTTTCTGCTCTGTGAACGTAGGTTTGATGATGGGCAAATACTCCACCTACCAAGCAAACGAATCATAACCTTGAGAACTCATGATGGGAGACTAGTTCCTCTGTCTCTCGGCCTCTTATCTAACCACAGCTCCATATTTTTACTCCATCTTCTTTCGCCATAGGTTTACGAAACCATAACACTATCTCTCTATGAGATGACAGAGATTGCTAGTAAATTTCAGCGCAAGTATTCAGAACTGAATAGATGATGGGAACACAAAAGCTTCCAAAATGACCGTATTCACGATCCCCTCGAGGAGTTTCACACAAGTGTTTCTCTCCATGACGGCTTCTTATCACACGAGGTCGCTGTAAATATATGGGTTTACACCTTGTTCCCTTCGACAGCTTAAGACGTCTTTTTCACAATTTCAATCTATTAAGGCAACTTACAATTCATTCTCGGATGGAGACTACTGTCAGCACGATGAAACAGAAACCCGAAAAATAAAAGCGGACGTCTCAACATTTCTACTGGTAATCATTAATCAGAAGCTGAGTCTCGTGACATGAACATGAGAAGACGCTCGTGTGATGTCTCGGTTGCCACCAACGAGCCATCCTCGCTGAGACAAACAAGCTTGAGGAAGGTAAAACTAACAGCCATGACGAATTCGGAAAACAGACGTTACTGTCTGCCACTGAGAGCTGAGCTGAGGTGGTCACTGGACGTCAGAAGGTAAGATATGGAGGAATCTCAGATTTCTGTCACTGGCCTGGATTGAAATCCGACAGATCAATTCGAATCTCCACGATTTAACGAGAAATTTGAAAACTTCGAACCACGAACAAGATCAAAGTGTGAAGTATGGATTCGGCAAAGACTGAGTAATCGGCATTTGCCAAGCAAGGGAAAAATAAAAGCATACAGAACGAGGCCGCCGCAGCCTTCCATAACTAGGTTAGAAAAATAAGACCAGAGAAGGCGTCGAGATCTAACCTCCATATAATTGTGGAATTGAGTCATGAGGCGAAAAAGAAGTTTATGAACAGGGGGGCCCTCTCCGACCCAGGACGGATCCACCTTCACATGAGGGTAGCGAATCACCATGGGCTGCACCGCATAGCCCGGGGTGAAGGCACCCGCTTTGAAAGTGACCAGAGCTTTGCCATTCGTGGTCGTGGCCTCAGGGAAGAGCATGACATGACTCCAGTCATTACACATAGCCCTTCTCTTGATTTCCCCAGAAGCGTGGCGACGAGAGTCCTGAGAAACTCGGTTCACAGAGATGACCTGCATTGCCTTCATGATGGCTCCTGCAATGGGCAACGACAAATTCTCCTGCGCAGTGACGATGACCGGCAAATGCCTGAAGAAAATGAACACGGGATCTACGAAAGTGACATGGTTGCTGACGATAATAGGCGCTTGATCCCGCGGAGCAGGCTTGCCCTTGATGTGAATCCACTGGAATCCACAAGCAAAGAGAAGCACTCGAGCGAAAAATCGCACAGGAAAAAGCAGCGGCCGTCTCCAGGCCGGAAAGGGCTTCTTCAACACATCCTTGGCCCCGATCAAGGCCACTTTCGTGCACAAAAATCCCAGCAGCATCGACGTGATCCATAACAACGCCCTGACCACGCACAGCGGCGTCAACAAAACTGTCTTCAGCAGCTCCAGCACCCCCCACTCCGCCGTATCATTCTTGAACGGATTGAATGGCACCACGGGCTCCACTGCCGGAGCCTTCCCCAACGCTCCCAGGCCCTGGATCTGGCCCGTGTCATCCTCCTCCAAATTCATCCTCCTCTCCTCCTCCCTCCCCGAAATCTCTGCCCTCCCACTTCCCCCTCCCCTCCCCTCGTCTCTTCTCTTCCCGTCCCTCCCCTTCGTCTCCTCCTCCTCCTCCTCTTCCTCCTCCTCTCCTTCCCTCTCCCCCACCTCTACATCTTCTTCTTCTTCTGCCTCTTGGATTCCTCGTCCTTTTGGACTCGGCTTCCTCTTCTTCTTCTTCTTCTTCTTCTTCCTTCTTCTTCTCCTTCTCCTGTTTGTTCTTCAGCGCTGCAACAGGAGCAGCAGGGCCATCATCTCCAGCAGCGCTCTGCTGTTGCGTCTTTTCTGCTCTTGGCCTCGGGCTCCTGCTGCTGCTCTGCTGCTGCGCTCGATCGACGATCCACGCCCCGGTCGGTCGCTCAGCCTGTCAGGCAGTCGCTCATGCCTTCTACATTCTTCCTCTGCCCTACAAGAACACTCATTACCCCCACCGGCCGTAACTGTGTTCCGGCCGGGGAACAGAAGAACCGCACAAAGAAACGAAGAACCAAACTTGTCAGCGCCTGCCCCTGCCCCTGCCCCCCTCCCTCCCTCCCTCCCTCCCTCCCTCCTGCCCCTCCTGCAACCCCTACCTCTGCCCCTGCCCCAGCCCCTCCCCCATGGATCCCAGATTCCTTCCATCGATCGCTAGGCCCAGTCACCACCCCTCCTCGCCGTTAGCCCGCTCTGCAGGTTCTCCTGCTCCTCGGAGCGGGCCAAGATGTGCCAGGCCCGGCCCGGGATTGAGGAGGGCAGGGGAAGGGTAGGGTTTGGGGTTAGGGGTCAGGACTCTGGGCGCCACCGGGGACAGGATCTGGGCACTATGGAATCTTGGCATGATGTGGATTGGATCGGGAAAAACCTTTTCGCCGGAATCCGGGTTTGGAATTTTGCGAGCGGATGGTCATCCTGAGGTCGGGAAATGATTCACCGGTGGGACCACGCTCTCTCGACAAGTGTCGGGCGCGGAGCCTGGCCTGGGCCTCAGCCGAGCAGGGCGTCCGTCCCCGCAGCAGTCAGTCGGTCGCCGGCTTCGATCGGAACCGCGGTTCACGGCGATGCGTTAACTGCGTGGTTCTGTAAGAACGAACCCTCACATCGTATTTTTTATTCTCTGCGCACGTGTCGAAGTGACTGTGGACGCGTTTCGAACTTTCGGGGGATGAACACGGTTCGACCGAGTTACCATTTCGTCCGGTCGCTCTCGTCAGAGCAGTTCTGACATTCGGGCCATGGCTCCGTGCCCCGTAGCGCGACCTTTTAATAAGAGAGAACACTGGCGAGGAGTAAAAGCAGCCTCCTCCTTTATTAGTCCAGACCTCCACTTTGTCCCCGATGTCCGAAATTAGAGTTAAGGCTGTGGACTTGGAGAGCCACGGAAAAGCTGTCACGGAAGCTGTCTCCAAATGCGGCCTCAATTTGGCCGAGTTCGCTTTGGTCAGAGTCCGCCTTAATCGGGAGGTACTTGGTGCTGACGAGTCGTCGCTAGGAGACGGTTGATTGCCAGGTGTCGAGCCGAGGAGGCATGCTCGACGGCAGTTCCTTCACAGCCTAGTGTGGCGTGGAGTGAAGTGTACGAGAAGGCCCTAGGGGTCCCCAGATCCACGTCTTTAACCCTACCGTAGTTAGGCCAGGTCATCATTCGTCCTTTGTCGGTTGTTCAGTTCTCTACCGAAGGATCGCTGGTCAGAGTCAGTGCTGCCTGACTGCCTGCCCATGTCTGCCCGCCGGGGCCTGGCCTTACGACCAAATTATTTCACCCTGACTCGGGGCCACTGCAGCTCGTCCCTTTCACTCTACCTCCTGATTGTTTTATGCTGCCCTGCCCTGCCCTGCCTGCCCTGTTCTGTTCATCCCACATGCAGCGGACATGCCGTTTGAAGCACGCACGTTCCCTAAATGCAATGTATATAGTGCCTCTGTATCCCTCAGGACACCACAAAGTATTTATTCTACACATTATTTGTACGGATTGTTTCCCCGAGGGTGGAAATTTTTCCTCTTGACTTTGATCTGGATCACTAAAATTTTCTCTGTTTTTCCTAAATTTACTGTTTTGCTTAATGTATATTCTTTGGAATACCAGAAGAAAATGGCTTTCCTCAATCAGTCTTTGTTTATATCTAGAGCGGACGTTAGGAGTTATTCATTGGCCACATTCCAGACCTATTGTCCATTTATGAGTCCACTTCATAGAACACCTGATTTCACAGGATCTTAGTTTAAGGATCCAAATGGGGAACTTGCAAATTGGACTGTTAAGCAGCTATTTCCTTTTCAGAACCATATCATTCTAGTTTATATAAAACATCATAAATACATGTGCTCTTTAAAGACAATCAGCAAGTTTGTAGAGACCAGGAGAGCTTCTTACGAGCATTGAGTAGTTTTGTGGTAATCTTCATTCAAAGGTCATGGTTACGATATTTACTTAACAAACAAGATATGTGATACGCAGCATGTGCATTTGAGTATCTTCTCTAATTCTCCAAATCAATATTAACTTTTCTTAACATGCTATTGAAGATATCTTAGGCTAGAGTGAAATGTTGTTTTTGTTTGAAGGACAAGTCATGAGAAGAAAGGGCAAGTTGTTTCCAGGTCAAGTGTCATAGTAATATTATCACTCATAATGTATATGCTCGTACTGCAAGAAGTCTCACAAGAACATGGTAAGTTATACATAAATTCATGAACAGGGCCGATCAAAGAAACTCTAATATTAGATATTTGGGATGCTGGATCTACTATTGAATAAGAATGATATACCGAAGTAACTAAAACAACCTTGGGTATGGGTAAAACTTGTTAGAATCAAAAAACTAGTTGATCCAATTTGATCCCAAGTTAAATAGCATGTGATTTCAAACTTATTGCTTGCAACTAAGATGTAGAGTTCAATCAAGAAATTAAATGCTACAGGTAGAAAATCATACATGTGATCTAAGAATCATGTGCTTATATTGGATCTAAGGCCTTTAAGACTATCAAATACTCTTGAAAAATAATCTGTATACAATTCTTCTTGGAATATGAAAGAATGTTGAGAATGAAGGTTTGTATTAAGCCAACAGAAAACATAACAAGACACAAATTGAAACATACCATTAATCGAAATGTTCAAATTCTACAACTTCATGCTAGGTTCAACTATGATAAAGGAATGATGTCTATATGAGCAATATTTCAACACAATACAATATTACGATAGTTCATACAATATTTGAAAATATTTGGCCAAATTTTTTATCCTGTCAAGCATAAGAAAAATAGGATTAACTTGAATAATACATCAAAGAAATATTGCTATCTAAATATGCTAGTATTGTGAAGTATACACTATAAATATGTTTAAATATTATGTGAACTTGTTACAATATTTAATCTAGTTATAAATTAGATGTATATAATCATAACATTTAAAAAACATGTAGAAAAATTACATGAAACAATTAATTGACTTTGAGATAGAAAAGTCAATAGAATTTTATATATGTAAATTTTATAAATCACTTTATATAGTGAAACAAGCTCATATGTATTTGATTAGTTCATGAAAGCATAAAGATTGCTAAAGAGAGTGGATAAAATATGTGTGTTTACATTGGAAAAATGAAAAGTTTCATCTCATTAATTTAGTATTTTATATGAATGACATGTTCATTTAAATATCAATACAATCAAAAAAACATCAATACAATGTTGATAGATGTAAAGACAAACTTAAATTTGTATTAGACTAATTCAAAAGTATGTAGAAGTGTATGTTCATAGGAATTTGGCTTAAAAAATATATGAATGAATCAATACAATATATATAACATATGTTCCATATTTTCAACATGTTGAACGCTTGATAACATATATCACACTATTTTCATCTAAGTGTTTAATCAATGCTATTGAAAGGGGAAAATTTTCATCATTTTTGTATGACAAGTTGATGTATAGTTTTATGTTTTGATGATATGCATTGGATTTGATACTGCATGAATAAACCTCTTTTTTTATAGAAACAATTCTAGATTCTATAAGTAAAATATTTATGTGAAAGTCATCAAGATAAAATGGTTTGTTGGCTATTTTTGTTTGCACTCTATGCTCTCCAAACTTCAAGAGTTATGTTAGTTTAATCAATCAATAAACTAAATTTGTACTCAAATATATTTATTATTCAAATGCAGTTTCATAAATAAAAATATATTCTGTCAAAATTTATTTGACTTTTATACTTATTTTTAAAAAAATTCTGAAGGTTTGAGTTTGACAAAAATTTCATTATAATCTATCAAATTTCAAATATTTCATTCATCAAGCTACATCCAATTTACTCAATTTTCACTTATCAATGTCATTCACATGTGTAACATCTCATATTGTTTCACATTTTTTATCAATATTTTTAATTATACTTTACTTTAGTCATCTTCCGTATATGTGATCACATGATAACCAAATATCAAACAAAAAGGATGTATTTGTGACTATATAATCAATTTATAAATATTTTTGGATTTCGATCATACAAAAATTATTTTTTCTTTCCTGATCATATTTCATTATCATTTTTTCATCTTATAAAATGATTGATAATTGAATACTACAAAATTCAAAACAAGTTGAATTTGCTTTTGGTAAATTCACATAGGAAGAAATAAAATATATCATGAATTTATACAATCATTTTTAGTTGTAGGATTAATTGTTGAATATATTGTTAGATGTAAAATAAAATTAAAATTAAAATTGTAATGGTGTTGTCATTTTGTGATGGATAAAATATTGACGAAATTAGCACTTGATATAAATAAATTTGAATGTATGATAACTGATAAATTTTTTTTAGAAGGAATGATATATTATGGCTGGTTCAAATCTGAAAAGAGTAATGTTGTATGTTAAAATTTTTTTTTAAGCTTGAAATTCGTCAAAAGTAAATTCTGATTAAGTTTCAAAAGAGAGGATTAAAATCTGAAATCATTATCCAAATTTGTTTCATCAGTTTAATGATTTGCTAGTGATTGAAGAAATAAATTGACTTCATTTGTAGCTAGTTCATTTTTGATCATTTTTCAATAATATTTCATGTTTAAATAATATTATGAAATAAATGAATTAGAATTTGATCCCATTTTTTTAATTTATAACAGGTCATGTTAAATTAATTTTATATATATTGAAAAATTTTGAATGTTTTCTGATCTATATAGATAGAAAATTTTAAAAATAGCGTTCAATTCATAAAATGCAAAGCAATGCATCATTAAAATTATGTAAGTCATGATTACCTGGAATTTTAAAAAAAATTACATTACATGAAGCTACCTTTGCTAAGTAGGAAGGGTATATCATCATCTCAATTACATGATTTTTATAAAATTGATTTATTCATGAGAATTTTTGAAACAAAGTGATGTCACTATTGTCTATTTGTACGATATTTTCTTACTGTATTACAAAAAATTGAAATAATATATGGATACCAAGTACAAATCTTTCCAATTCAATATGTGGATATATATGTTTTGTTCTTTTGCAAGTCAAAGTAAAATCATTTGACTAATTGACTGCATGTCATCAACAATTTGCAAGTATGTATTCAAATGGAACTATAGGGCGGAATCTGTTAGCTTACGTAGATATCGTATATCAAAGACACATGTTCAATGCACGGATGCAGCATGTTCATCAAAGACACTCAACAAGCTTGCAACACTCCAAACTAAATGTTTTGTTTGATTTAATATCCTGTAGAAAACGTTTAAATTGCTTGGTATGTCAATTTTTTTACAGAAAGTGTGATTTTTATTATAACTTTATATCATGATCATTTTTATAACTCTGATAAAATATTTATATCGAATATCTAAAAAATATGTTATGTATTTTACAGTTACAATCGAATTTAATATGAAAGAATTATCATGAGTGATTTTATAAGAATAAACCGGAAAGACGAGTGGAAACGGCCTGACAATTTGAATATTCTATGTTTTTTACTTAAAGCATTCATTACGCTTTTCTGGCCGTTACGTGAGGCAATGAATAGAATAGAATGTTCTCACTAATCTCCATTTCCACGACATACCGACACCAATCAGCAATCTCCATGTTGCTCCCTGTTTTTGGCAGTCTCCCTGTTTTCTGCTAAGCAATTTCACGGAATTCGTTATACACCTATTTCTCAACGTGGAGTATCCATGTGAAAAGATTGACCCATGTACAATCACCTCGTCAGAATAAAGAATGAAAATGAAATGCACATTGACTTGCTGGAATCAAAGTCGTTGTGAACTTGACCACTTTCCAGTCACAGTCAACATTTTTCACGATACTTTCTACGAGGGAACTCTGTTGTCTACCTTTCACACTGTAGAAGCTTTTCTTCCTGCACCTTTAGTGTTAGAATTTAAAAAATTGCACAAAAATCTATGCGTTTCGAGAGAGAAAATATCACTTGATTATTACAAGGAAATACGATAAATTTGGAAGATGGAATGTAAAAATTTATAACCTTATATACAAACTATCTACGACTAGTGTTTTATTTCTTGTACAAATTTCTCCTTAGATTCTTAGAGAATTTTATCAACACGTACTCTAAAGCCGAAATCAATTATAAATTTTAGTCTTCATCCATTGAAATTTTAGCCTCATGACCTTGAGATTTCTTTGCTGGTGACTTGACACATATGCAGAGAAATTTGATATTCGGATGAAGAAAAACCTTTCTACACATGTTTATTGAATATTTTCTACCAAAGCTCAAAACAGTCAGCCTTCATTTATGTAAAGATGACGTCAATAGGACTATAACCGATTGAAAGAAAATGTGATCATTACGATTTGGGATAGGGTTTATGCTCTCAAGGTAGCATTTGCAATGTAGAACAGAACATTTTCTGCATTAAGAATGTATATGCTCAGACTTTCATCGCTATGCTAAATGGGTCCATTCACTTTGTGAAGAAGGCACTTACTTCCAGTCTATGAGTTCTGTTGTCGTGTGCTAGTATCACCCAAGCATACCGTACATGAATCAAGTGTGACAGTACTCGCCCTATTGATTCATGTGTGCTAGTGTAACTTAGACAAGTTGTAATTGAAACAAATGTAAAGGTCGTCCTCTGATCTGATGAGAGAACATTTGATTGGATAGAAACTTGGAAGTAGTTGATGTACTGTAAGAGGATCTGAAACGAGATTTTTATAAAATTTTCTTATGATAAAAATATCCCCTAAAAGCATGCCGAAGGCCGAGGGTCGACCATGTCCTCAGTTTGCCTTTCGGAATCTTCGTTGGCCTTTGTGAGAATGTTTTGCCTTTAAAGTTGCTTGAACTTTTGAGGATTTCATGAGCTTGCTGCTATGCAAAAGCTTATCCACAAGTATCAGCAAGTATCTCATCCACAAGCCAACAAGCCCCTGTATAGATGAAATAAAATGAACTACCATTCCAGCTTATACGAAAATCTGCTTTCTCCTCTGACCTGTCCTTTTCTAGTGACAATTTGAATTGGTCTTTGATAGGCTGCCGAAAATTTTATCCAACCGGCAGTACTCTCGGATCTATAACACAGCACAGCTGATAAGTGCAATTGGAATTTGACTAGAAGCAATATTGGGTACTTTGAGCAGATAATCTTGGTATACGTTCAGCGTTGTAAACACTGTTGATGGTGTGTAACTCTACGCGAGAAGCGAATCCATGGTCTACGACTGAGTGCGTGACTCAAGTCTTTTCCACGTGATTACTTACTTCTGGTGAGCGTCAATCACTGAGATCAAAACTGTATTGGAACCGTTAAAATGAATCCTGACTTACACTACATAATTACAAATATACATATTGGACTACAGATTCTCTACAATCTTTTACTCATCTACTTCTGTAATCCCTTGACACCTGGAACTGTGAATGCTACTTACTTTTAAAATGTCGCCTGTTTCAATGTTGTGCAAGCGACAAACTGTTCCTAGTATACGATCCACAAACTGGGCTGGAAACGTGCTGTTATTGACCCAGAAGACTGATCGAAGACTGATCGGGATCATTGCGGCGGATGACGTTCTTATCGAGCGTTTCCCACGACGGATGACATACAAGCTACAAGAGTTTCAGCTCAGTCTTAACTACGGTCGAAAATTCCTCGACATGATTATTGAAACTTAATGGATAGCTCAAGTTTGTGCATAATATATATTAATCTCCGTGAACACTTTGATGAAAATAAAAGACCCTAAAAAAAAAGAGGTCACGTCTGCCAATCATCTTTTGTTGGTATCGATCATTCTATACTTTGGGTAGGATTTTGTGTATGTTTCAAATCTTCAACTGGTTTTAACAGCTGTTTCTTTGATGAAGCACAGTGGTATGAACAATTTGCAGTGTAACACAGAACAACATAAGGTTTTCAATGCAATCGGACTCATGATACAGGGCTTTGTACTTTACACAGATAAGCATGACGCAAAGATTGGCCGTCATTTACAATGAAAAGTTACCGCGTGGACTCACACTCAGTTTCATTGTGAGCAGAGTTCAGAAATTTTTGAAGGCCTACTTGAACAACGGTTTTTCGAGACACCGTCGGCGGTTGTTTGAATCCCAGTGCATTGGCATAAACCATCGCTAATCGAATGATTTTTTCCTTCCCACTATCTGTCGACTCCCTTGAAAAGTGGTACCTCAGCCAGGCTAAATACGCCTTGCTTCTTATCTGGTAGTCGACGTCTTCCAAAGCTTGTTGTACCTGTCATAAAAAGAAGGAGAAGAAGACTTGTGAGGCATGTAACTTCCCTTCTGGACTACTCCATTATGGAGAAAAACAGACTCCAAAACATGACTTCCAACTTCTCAGCAAGGATAGGCGATATAACACACCTGGAGCTCTAAGGCAGGAGACACTTCACGATCAGGCGATTTGGATAGAGGACAGTCAACCAGCTGCTTCAAAGACGATGTCTCATGGGGCATGAGAATAAGCAAGCAAGCTCGTTGCTTCGCAGTGGGTCCTGTCGGTGTTATTCGTCGAACATATTGCTCGGACGATGACGGTGAACCGACCTACTCCAAACGGAAAGAATGCAAGTAAATAAATCATTAAATCCCCATCCAAATTCACACTCGTGGACAGGCAAACGAAACCTAGAAGCCACATCGGTTACGGCCAGCTTATGTCCTTAAAAGAATGGCGAAATCTAATGTAAAGACAACGATAATATCGGGACAAAGTGCCAAATCGAAGATGCCAACCATTCCAACCTCTAAAGAATCAACTTGACTCACGCACCTGAATGATCAGGGTAACGTCAGAATTTGAAGCACCCCAGACTGATGCCCCAGAAGTGAAAAGGACTATGCCGTCGTCAGATGTCCTGAACTCGGCCGCAATACGTGCGCGGACAGTTTCCTTTCTGCGTATATGAATCTCCCTAGTACAGAAGCCAAGATTCTTGTATAGCTCGGCCATAAGAGAAGTTGTTCTGATGGTTTGACAGAAGACAACGACCTGCTCCGAAAGGGGCCCGAAAATAATATAAAATAAGTATCTAACTTGCACAAAAAGTAATGTAAGATTTTGAGCGAGTAGCTGAACCGCGAGATTGCAAAATGCAATTTTTGTTCGAAGTCCTACACAATTTAGACAAAGGAAAATAGAGCATAAGAAACCACACTGATTGCCATACCTTGCCCTTCGGGTCATGCAGAAAATGTTCCTTGAGTTGTGCGAAAATTAGTGCTAAATGCATTTTCATCGGTACAAGCACGTACTCCTGCTTTGCCTGCATCTCCCAGGCAGATCCCCAACAACTGCTTATTTTCAAATGGTATTACGTTTGTGACAATCTGCTTCGAAGTTCTACCCTCCTGGAGTCATAAGAACTCATCAAGGGGCAAACTAGTATACCACAAAGTACAAATGCTATTGAGCGTTATGAGCAGAAAAATATTTGAATTCAGTTCATCGTAATAACAAGAGCTCTGTCGTTATACCACGGAATGTGCAATATCAGCCTCTCCGTTGAATGTGTCTATAACTCCAAATCCTTTCTTCAGAGCATAGTGTGACAAAGCAGAAACCTGCAACGGAGGAGGCACTGAAGTTTTCAGACTAATGAAGTCAGGCTGATGGCAGAAGCAGATAGCCGAAGTAGCAATGAAGGTTAAAAAAACCCGACAACAAGCAAGAGAATGATAAGGAGGAAAATAACAACCTTCTATCACCAAGGGGCTTCTTGACTAATCTTACTGTCTGGACGTAACCTAACTGGCAGACATTCACTACATCTCAAGAGAGTTACTTCAGCGAGCAGCAGATAGCAAGCTCATGTCGGGAAAGAAAATGAGCTTCAGATTCTGTACAGCTACAGGTCAGAGGTTTACAGCCACATGCCTCATCCGACATGGCCTTGGACCACAAAATTGTCTGACGACTTTTTGACAGCAGAGAGACGATGCCTTCGATTGTCTTTAGATACCCCATGTCAAGCAACATCTGCACGTCGTGAAGAACTAAGAGCTTCAGGTCTCTCAGTTGTCCACAAAATCCAGCTGATTCTTGCATATTGGCAAGTAGGCGTCCTGGTGTTGCTATCACAATCTAAAATGACAACCAAAAGGCAACGGTAATATCAACATCCAATCGCACTTGCTCAGTCGTGGAACTATCTGACTTGTAGAGAGGCAGGAAATAGAGAAAGCATGCAAGCAAAAAATGAGCACGATGACTAAATCCAGAACAATCATCTCTGGACTACGTGGAAACTTAAAAAGAGCAGCTTCCAACCTCACATGAAGCTGCTCGCAAGCGATTCATCTCTTCCTTTATATTGCTGCCACCCACAACGACTTGCAACTTAACACCAGTATGGAACATCAACAATTTCCGGGCTTCAGCTGCAGCAACCTCGACCTGTTCCCTGGTAGGAAAAACTAGAAGCACATGCGCTGAATGCCTTCCAGACACTGTAACATGCCGTGGTGTTTTCAGTGCCAAATCGACTGCATGTAGCTGCAGAACGGAAGTAACGTTAAGAAGTAATGAGCGAGAAGTTCTACCGAGGACATCATATTCGAAGTTCGTAAACGTAGCTGCATGTAGAGATCGAAGAATGCGGACAACCATACTTTCTACGACTGCAAGTGCTACTCACTAAGCAAGTTTGCACATTATATTGTCAAGGTCTAATGAGAAGAAACCGAAATATATATATACAGTAATCTGTTCCAAATGACTTTCACCTAAAGGTGGATTTCATCTGATTTAAATAGTGAAGTCTTGAAATTTGAATACAGAGTTATCGGTTCATGTATATGCTAACCTCTGTTTTGGACTACACAAGGGTCTAGGTTTACGACAGAACTTCTGTTTCTAGATTTGAGTTGACAGAGAAAAATACTGCACCAGAGAAGCTACGACGTCATCAGTGCCACCTCTTGTTCGTATGAGCAGGTCTTTTCCTGAAGTTGACAAATGAATGTTATTAAAGAGCATCGTTGAAAAAACGAGATGAGTTTTGCAGGGCAACTTGCACTGACTAACCTAAATTGTGTAAAAAACGCGCAGTAGAAATACACCACATCAAGTAAATGCTAGTCTACAGAAACAAGCCGGCACGAAGTCAAAAACCAACTTTCTTAGGATAAATGTCAGCTGCCGCAGGAGGTAATCTTCTTCGTCCCTTCATGGTGGAAGCTGAGCTCAATCATATAAACGAGAACGTTACGCTTGCTCACCTCCAGTCATGATAGGAAGGGTGGCTTCTTGAACACGAGTCATGCTTAAAAGTCCGAAAACAGTATGCAATGCTCTCAAAGACGGAGCTGACAACTGTAGTTTTTCGAACCTGCATTACCAGATTTCAAAAGAATTTCAATGACAAATTACTACAGGGCTGGTGTCAAGCTTTAAACACTGAAGTCACATTTGAAAAAATCAAGATCATTTCCTTTATTGTTCTCCTTCGATTACTTACGATGAAGCTGTCAACTCCTGGTTCGATCTTGTGGACGGTGCCAACTTGCTTGTAAGCAACAATCGAACTTTCTGGATCTGCTGCAACTCATCGTCCCTGCTTGCCGACCAACCTAATCAAAGAGATTAGAGATCTGCCTCTCTAGACCGACATCATCGAGCACTGTGAGGGAGTTCATCCAGTTAACACAGTAGGTGGATACCTTCCAGAACATAAGCCAGAGGTGATAATCGCGAGAGAATTCGTTGATACATGTGTATTTTACCTGGAAGAGTATCTCCAGTCCGAATTCCTGTTTCTTTATCTTCAATGTAAGTTCCAGGACCTGAAAACGTCTTTGATCTGAACACCGCAGGCTTTTCATCAGCAAAGAAGCCTTCCTGTGACAAATTTAGGGAAGGAACCCAGGGTTTAGCATCTTTGAGTTCTTCACGTCGCCTACTTTCATATAATTTTCTCTCTCTCGAGATTCGCTTCTGCTCCAGCTTACGATCTTCCTTGAATTGCCTCCGTTTCCATTGCCACTTCGTCACTCCTCCAGGGTATCCGCGACGTTTACCAGTCATCATCGTAATTTCAAAGAAAGGACGTGCGAGGATTGTCTCTGTTACCCCATTGCCGAGCGTTTTAACATCGAAGGAATCACTCAGCAAGACCTGTACCCCGACGAATTCTTTCTCCGCGATCTCTGTGATCCGGTGAATCCTACAATCTGATCTTCTTGTACTCAAATATTGAGAACGGGCTCCACCTACGGGTGCAAACCCCGAGCGCAAGCACGACCCGAGCATCATGTCCTCACCTCTGTAAGCTTCGAGTCAAAACTGTCACCATTACGTCCTCTTGTTGTTCGAGAGATTACGATTCTTTCTCTCCGTGTGAAGATCTAAGTAATCAACACTTGAACCGATTGGTGTATATCTTCCGATCCGCTCCTCAGGAAAACTGCAGCTGACCGCGGAAGGATTCGATGCTTATAGTAACCCCGCGTAGTTATCCATAACCTGAGCTGGTTCCTCGCAGACAAGCGAGCGGAATTTGTTCTATAATTTATCCTGCCCTGGTTATCGAGGACGAGATCCTCATGCACCCTCGCCAAGAAGCAAGCAAGGCGTGAAGGTGTGCGATCTCGCGAGATCAAGGTCGTCTGCAGTGCCGAAGCAATAAAAATATTCGCAGACAACATTTCCTGGTATGGCGTCCGCGACGATTCTAATTAGTTATATGCCTCCATGGCGTACGGTGCTCCGCTTCTCTAGGTCCATTTAATGTTCTCGATAATCCATTTTGACAGAGAGCGACATAACATGTCGTGAGCACACGTCGTGTCGTTTTGCGCCAGTGTGGTCCACAGGTATTATTATCTGCTGAGCCCCGGGGCGGGCAAACAGCGACGCAGAGAAACTCGTGTCCCTCACTTCTCACGCAACAGAGCGGATGCACGGCTTATCTGCCTTTTAAGAAATGTAAGCCTTAAACGATATCCACGACCTTCACGAAACTCATCGGCTGAGACTGCCAGTGCCATGCTCAAGCCCGAGATCGCGCGAGTGATATTTTGCTCGATGCAAGCAACCCTAAAGGCATCATAACGTCAATCTTAATTCACTGATCGAACCCTAACCCTAGAAGGAGGAAAGCTAAGCGAATTGAAGGATATTACAGGCATCATATTGCACGAATCATATCCGCGAACAATCAAGATTATCTCGAATTACAAGAAAGGGCAGCGCGAGCTCATGAATTGTGTGGGCTCACAGTAGAAAGATCACTGGTGCGGGCTGCGGGCTTGACTTACGGAGCCAGATTTACGGGCGAGCGAGGGCAGGCATTGCCGGATTTGAATGGGAATCTGCTGAGTTCATGGTTCTAGGAGGAGGATTGAGGGTGGGAGGGAGAAGCATGGTTGGGCCGGGAGGGTTGATACACCGCCTGGCTGTGACGAGGCCTCTTGTCACGCCATCAACCGCAGCAGCAGTAGCAGCGGCAGCGACGAGAGCAGGATCATCGAGAGTGCAGGAGTCAATTGCAGGGGGATTGCGCAGGAGTGCCATCGCCGGGCACACGACGTTCTTCGGAGGAGAGGCTGGATTGCGCGCGTCGTCCATGGTGGGCATCGCGCTGCCGGACGAGGCCGGGGCGTCGGCGGGCGGAGTGCGGATGATGGGCGGGGGGCCGCGGACGTTTCCGGGGGGAGTGAGCAAGTGGCAGTGGAAGAGGATGCAGGAGAAGAAGGAGCGGCAGATCGAGAAGGCGCGGCTGCTGCGCGAGCGGCAGGCCTTCGAGGAGCGCAAGCGGCAGGAGGTGCAGGCCTCGACGGCGCCTAGGGTTGAGAAGCCGTGGGAGGCGTCGCCGCCCCGCAACCCTCTGGCGCCACCGGCCGCTGCGCTCGATCCGCGCGTCACCGCGCTGGCGGACCGGTTCCGCAAGCACGGCGCCGAGGATCTGTGGACCGAGGACGACGGGCCCGAGCAGGCCAACGGCGCGCCCGGTCGAATTTCCGCCCGCTTCCTGCCCGTTGCGTCCGCCTCCGCGCCGCAGCACCGCGCCCGCCCGCGCCCCGTCTCGAGGGCCGCCGTGCATGGGTCGACGAGCTCCGACGCCTGGGACGACGCATTTCGCAACGCCGGCACTTCTGTCCGAGACGCGGAGATTTCGCCTCCTGCGGTGAGAATGCGATCGGGGTCGAGGCGAAGCATCGAGGATCGCCCTCAGGGCCAGCGCGCTGGTGCGCCCGGGTCTGGATTGGTAGGCAAGTTGGATAATTTGTCCCTCGACAGGAAGTTTTCTTCTTCGGCCGCACCTGTGGTAGATTCGGTAGAGAGTGGTCAGGGTGTGAACATGAACAGGCGAGATAGGAATTCGTCGCACGGTGGTAGGAAACCCGCTCAACGGAGTATGGGTGGTGGTGGTGGTGGTCCAGGGAAGCGGTTTGCCGAAGCTCAGCAAACTGGCTGGACTGGCAACAATGTGAGCAACGAGGTGGAGCAGCAGCGCAAGAAAGTTCGACCCACCCCGACGAAGGAGGCTCGGGAAGGCGAGCCTACCCCGTCGCATTTGTCTGAGACACGGTCGGTTCCATCAGTCCGGCTTCTTGGAACTCGTGACATTCTGAGCTACTTCCGATTCAGTTTCTCCGTAGGATCTGCTGTCCCTCTTTTGGCTGAAGAAGGTCGTTGTTCAATTTTGGTGCAGGTTCGACCAGTTTCAGATTAGTCCTCTCTCCATAAGGGCCTTACATGAAGTCATGGGATACGAGAAGATGACCAAGGTTCAGGAAGCGACGTTTCCCGTAATTCTTGAAGGTGAATTCTCAGTTCTCCGCTAACGAATCCAAATCCACTTTTTCATTCATGTTACTGGAACCGGGTTGCTGAGCTAGAGTAGCCTCTCATCTTACAGGTTGGATGCTTAAACTTGCATCCTTTTATCTATTTTGAGATTAGCTTAAACGAGCGCTGCTCTGAAGCCATTGTGAGTCAGTCCGGGCATGTGACTTCGTTGACGTAAAATAGGTTACGAAATATTTGGGAGGAACGTTAAACACCTTGAACTCTCGATTACAGGAAGGGATGTCTTAGCAAAGGCGAAGACGGGGACCGGTAAGACAATTGCATTCTTGGTAAGTTCACTCCCGTGTAGAAGTTTTACGGTGTCCAGTCATTATATCATATATATCCAGTAGTATATCATATCATATATTATATCCAGTCGAGCTGTGTGATGTCGAGAACTTGCATCTAGGAGTTTTCCAAGACCGTTTTGAATCGAGTCTGTGTGTGTATCCCGACGAATCATGAACCTTTTGACCATTTAGTTCCAGCATTGAATAAGCTTTTGTATTCTGGAACCCTCGATGTCATCATCAATGCTCTTTCTTTGGGATCGCGTGCCCGATCAAACTGGAGTTAATAGAAACTGATTTCATATCTGATTGCGCTGGTGGACTGATGCTTTGTCATTATTTGCGGAGACTTACACCAATTCATCTCACTGCAGCTGCCATCGATAGAAGCTATAATCAAGGCCAACGCTGACAGGAAGCTAACCGGCAGGTGTCCAATCAACGTTCTAATCATTTGCCCAACAAGGGAGCTTGCGAGCCAAGCAGCAACTGAAGCCAAAACTTTGTTCAGTTACCACAAAAAGATGGACGCACAAATTGTGATTGGAGGCACCAATATGAATACCGAAGCTAACAACCTTCAGAAAAATCCTTGTCAGGTTAGTCGATTGACGCCCTGGCCACGCTTTGCACGAGAACTTGACTTAGACTGTTTGAGAACGTTCAACATCGATTTTGTAAGACGATCGGTGTCTGTCTGATATTCTTTCGACTCGAGTCAGCAGAAATGGAAGATTTTGAAAGTTTTCATCTTCGAGTACCTTCTTCTACACGAGTGCGCTCTCAGGATTAGGGTGCACATGAGCATTTGTGTGGCCGTTTTGGGAAGTTAACTTGGACGTCGGTTTATTGTGCCGCAGGTTTTGGTAGCTACGCCAGGGCGACTTCTAGACCACATGCAGACCTCTAAAGAAATTCTACAGCAACTTGGTCACTTGAAAGTATTAGTTCTCGATGAAGCAGATCGCTTACTTGATATGGGGTTCAAGAAAGACTTGGATCGTATCATCAAGATGCTCCCGGCAGCTCGCCAAACTCTTCTCTTCTCCGCTACTGTACCTCCTGAGGTTCGTCACTGCTATTTCGGAAGAACCTGATTTCTGTTTCAGTTATTTCAACCCTTCAGGGTGGTTGGTAAGATGAAACAGTTTTGCAAAATGAAGTCTCACTTATTTATCTCAAATTTTGTGCAGGTTCATCAAGTTTCTCAAGTTGCTCTAAAGAAGGATCATGCTTTTATTGACACAGTGGGGAAAGATGATGAAGAGACGCATGCTAAGGTGAGTAGTTTTGGTGGTTGGTGGATGTGAGACTACAGATTGTAGAAGCGGCAGGCGACATTTTTTTGCTATTGAAGATAGTGGCCACAGTGCGACGGAGACCATGTTAGAGCTAGCTATCTGCGTGAAGGGAATTGCGCCTTCAAATTGGTTGTGCGTCTACTAACAACTCTTTGTTTTACTTCGTTCCTTCACCAGGTTGAACAGTCTTACGTTATCGTTCCCCTGGAAAATCAACTGGAATCTATATTTTCCCTTCTGGAAAAACACACTCAAGAAGAACCAGACTACAAGGTATCGTTGGATCCGTGAAGTCCAGCAAAGCTTAAATTTGATAAGCTGCTACTACTAATTTGTTGTTGCTTTACAGTTATGAAATACTTAGGTTTAAGAGTTTGCTTTCATTCGTGTCGGAATCTCAGTCACTACCTGGTTTGTACAGGTACTGGTATTTTGCACTACTGCTAGAGTTACAGGACTGATGGCAGAGATCAGTACAAACTTTGGATACAACACGTTGGAAATACATTCGCGCAAAAGCCAGGCTTTCAGGACTCGTGTATCGGACACATTTAGAAACTCTACAGGGGGTGTTATCATGTTTACTTCAGATGTATCTGCCCGTGGTGTAGATTATCCAGACGTGACTCTTGTCATACAGGTACGGTCAGTTGGTGCTTTCTATTGCTGTTATTATCCGTAATACTTCTCTGCAAAGATCGTTAACGGGTCCAGCTTTGTTCATATAACTCAATTTAGTTTATGGTTTGTGCAGCTGGGTTGTCCATCCGGACGAGAAGATTATATCCATCGACTTGGGAGAACAGGACGTGCCGGTAAGGAGGGACAGGGTATCCTTGTGCTTGCCCCATGGGAGAAAGGCTTTTTACGTGCCTTGAAGGACATATCTATTGAAGAGTGTACCGACCTTAAAGTGTCGAACAGCGTAAAATCTAAGGTAAAATCCAACACTGAGACAATCACGTATGTCATGGTCCTGTGTCTAGCCTCCCTCACTCTGATCGGAGCATGAGTTCATGGGACCATCTTCTTTCCTAGTGATGCATTGATGCCTTCAGGTAGGAGGGCAAGTGAGTTTCGGAGGAGTCAAGTCAATAGAAGGTCAATGAGAAGCATGTGTTTGTTTGCAAGGGGACCCTTGAAACTGTTTGGACTTGCCCTCGTAAACATTGTTCGATAATGTAAAGTTTGATCGATTTAAACATGTCCATTTGTGCAGGTGGAGAAGGCGTTGTCATACACAAGTAATGATGCTAAAGAGAAGGCATATGCTGCATGGTTGGGTTACTATAATTCAGCGAAAATGCTTGCTCTCAGCAAGACTGAGCTTGTACGCCTGGCCAACTTCTACAGCTCTACTCTGGGGCTGGACGAACCACCATTGCTGATGAAAAAGACAATCGGTATGATGGGACTGAGAGGCGTCCCCGGTTTGAGGAGTTAGGCGCGTCCAGCACAGAGGAGGGAATGTTCGCGCACACGTCCGTGTGTGGTCTGTTGTAATTTACATCAATGCCAATCGCCTGCAATGTCTCGACAGCGACTAACATATTTTGTCCTTCCATAAATGAGATCATAGCTTCTTTTAAAGCATGGGGAAGTATTTCTCAGGAGACAGAAGTTCGTAGTCTGTAGTTGGAACCGACGGGCTACCACGAGGGGGTGAAGGTTAGTGTGGTATACGGCGAGTATTTTTCCACATAGATGCATAGTCAGTCAGTCACCCCGCTAATCCAAGAGCCGGATGGTTGGTTTGGTCGTGTGATCATCTCATGGCTGCGCTGTGAAGTTGCAACCGGACGGGTGTTGGCCTCAAGGTTGGTCAGATGTATGGCATTGGCTTGTCTCTTTGCGATATCGGAAAACGAGCCGACCGGTGCACGGGCTGAAAGGGTACTGGGTACAGTACTTCAATTCTAAACCATATCCATTCTTTCGATATAGATAATTTAGATATCAAGCCATGTTACAAGAAGAAGAGAGATTCAAGTGTACAGCATTGAAATATTTATTCTGAGGAAGCAGTAGTCTTAGCAATGTTCCCAAGGATATGAGTGGGATTTTCCTCACAATAATCAATATGTAATCTTGTGCATCTTGCACTATCAAAATGTTCGTCTTTGATTCGGTTCATGCTGTCGTCCACCGGGAAGTCGTCGGCTGCATAGGCGCATGATCATTTTGGATGGTGCTCTTCTTTGATTTGTTGTTTCAAATCGTGTAATGCTCACAGTCGCGATACTGGGAAATAAATGCTTCTAGGTCCTCATGTGCTTCATGCTTAGAACGCACCAGCCATCGAGGATATGAACACGCTTTCATACATCTGGGAATTATTGTAGATATTACAGCAAAATTCTACAGATCCGTAATTCAACTGCGAGGTTGTTTTCAAGGCTATTGATAAACTATATTTCGGGCTTGTCATATCACATTGTGAATTCTGAGTATGCTGCAAGTGTAGTAAAATGCTGATTAGAAAATAAAATAGTTATGGTAGAGCGATGAAAAGGTCTCTATCTTACATTTAGAATTAATGAATAATCAATGAATTAAGGTAATAGTCGTATGTCCGTGTAATGTAAACTCAATTCATCTCATTCAGATAGGCTATGTACCACAAGTATCTTTTGTTGCATGCAATTTTTTGGGTGCGATATGTGATTTCAAGTTTTTAAAAAGATTAGAAATTTTTGTCATTAAAAGTAATACTTAGCAGAACGTTTTCTACTATTTTCGAAGAAAAGGTCTAAAGTACAACACTTCCAACTCAATCAATGATGTAAAAGTACTTGTCATTTTACATTATTATAATATATAATGTGCAATGATGTAATGTAAATTCTAGTATGTGAATATGAAATATTTGTGAATGTCAAAGATGTTTAATTGCACCAGATTGCAAGATTATAAAACGATTTCTCAAAACTTGATATCTAAGAACTAGAGATATTCATATCTAAAATTTTCATATCATAAAATTTTACATTATTTTTCAGTAGTTTAAATGACATATGCATTTTCTAATGAATTAGTACTATAAAAAATTCATTGTTACTCCTTGTTATAACAATGCAGATAAAAAAATAATATTTTAATGTTTAATGAAGTAAAAAATTTTAATTATTTTACGTTGTATCATATAAATTATATTCTATTACTTATCTAAACAATCAATATGTCGAACAATTATCTTCAACTCACAGTTATCCATTTTTAATCATCTGAAATTAATTTTCTGCTTACTGAAATATATTTTTTAACTATAGAATATGATTAAACATTTCAAGTTTCATCAATTTCACAAAGTTGAAAAATTTCCACTTAGTAAAAGGTTGAAAATTCAAGTATTCACAAAGTTAAAATTTTCAACTTTGTAAAGGAGAATATTTCAACTTTTTACCAATTTGTAATTTTGAAATTTTAAACATCTTACTATTTTACTAAAAGGTTTTTAAAAAAGCTTTTAGATTTATTAAATGAAATTTTCAATCTATAAATATAATTAACAAAATTTAAGTAGATTAAGAAATAGCTTTCATTTAAAGTTAAAAAGATATATTCTTATACTCAAATATCCAATTGAAGAGAGTTGTAGTACATTTCAAATCTTTCATTATTCAATTCATGTCTATCTTTGATTATCCATTTGATAATGATAGATTTATTAACAATTATAACATCGTTTCAGATCAATAAAACAAAAGCTAAAAGCAAAAAATTCTACTTTAAAAATAATTGAGATTTACTTCTATATAATTTACTCCAAGCTTAAATTTAAGAATATTTGGAAAAAAATCACATTTTTGTTTCTAATTTTTGTATGAAATTTGATTCCTATTAATTTAGTTATTATAATCATCAAAAATTTGATTTAATTTTTTTTTATAAAAAATTTTCATAATTTGAATATAATATTCATAAAATATGATGAAAAAAATTTCTTTTTTAAGTACAAATAGCTCATTTTTTATTTTGAAATTTATATCTACTTCAATAGACTTCAAGATAATCCTATTAGAAGTTATACTTCGTTACATTTGCTAAAATATACTTCAATTGATACATAAATTTATTTTTAATCAAAGATTGATACTTTAGATTTTTTATTTTTTATTTTTTTATTTTTTCTTAGACTGTAGTATGTCACAATCAATCATTTTTCACGCTTTTTAATTCAATCAGCTTGAATTTTTGTAAGTGTAATTACAGCTCATTGTGTTGTAAAAGATCTAATGATCATATGATCATTTTACGTTTTTATTTTTATTTTTCTAATTTGAAACAAAAGAAAATCTAAAATTTTTGTTGGATAAACTCTATGTTTTTTCACTTGTATTGAATGAAATCAAAATATATGATTCACAATTTAACTGTCACATTAATTATGAAAGATAAACTACATTTTAAAAAAAAGATTCATGGTTACAAAAATATTTAATTATTATTTATGATTTCACTACTCAAACCATAATATTTTAACTTGATTACCACAAAATACGTAAAAGTTTCATTCAATCAACAAACAAACAAAATATTATAAGTTCAAAGTGTATGAGTATGTAACAGTTTATTTTCAATCACATATATTTTTCCAATTTGCAATTTGCTTTCTGTTTACTTTATGTGTATTTCAATGATTTTTTTTAAAAAAATTTATAATTGTAAGGATCCAAATTTAGAATTTATATTTTTTTAATAATATTTATTATTTTAAAAATTCAGTTTTTAATAAAAAAAAATACAACACTAGGAAGAATTAAAAGCTATTTATGGAATGAAACATGAAAAAATATGTATGAAAAACATTCACGTGATAATATTTTCTCCATGTACATATTTTAAAATGTAGTTATAAAAAGTATATCACCATCATTGTATTTCAAGATAATATTCATGATTAATGTACCAGATATTATTATCAAAATTGTACATTGAGATATATGATTCTTACCAAATGACATAATCAACTAACATACCCACATAATAATAATCTAACAAGAACATAATTACTGATGTATCTTCTACAAGTAATTTGCAATAAGTCAATTTGATATCATCTATGTGCATCTTGAAGCATCTTTGCTTTGAATATAATCAATATAATACGATTTTGAATAAAATCTAATATTTAATTAGTTTTGATTGAGTGGTTACTGTAATTAGATATTGACTATGCACATGTACATCGCTGGACTTTGCTTTTTAAAAAAAACAATCTATGAATGTCTAACAATTGAATTTCGTTTCTTGGATTTCTTGTATCAACAATTTACTTCAAATTATTCTTCTTGTCATTCTAGATTTGGTTATTTCATGTTGTTGAAACTTCAATTCAAAAAGTTTGTGATATTTTATAATTGAATTGTCCCATCTTGCCCAGATTTCCCAAAAAATCCACCTTTTTTTTGGAAAAATAGTCCACAAATTTTATAATGTAGTTTTCAATTATGAAATTGCAATGATATAAATTTTTGTACATGTAAAATTATATGTTCAATAAACATCAAAATTATTAAATCTATGAACTTTGCTTTATGTGCCATCCGATTTCAAAGTTTATGTGTTAAAGATATTAAATCCTATATCAAAATGCATGATATTCCAATGCGAGCATAATATGTAGTTTCATAATTTTTCATTTTTCAACCAATTAAAATTTCGTTGTCTTAGGAACTTCCTAACGTTCTTGGTTTGGACTTTCTTGTTTGTCAGATCCTGGTGTTACCAAATTATCAACCAACCAGGAAAACATAACATGCTAACGAAATATGTTCCTAGTAATTGATTTATAAAACTCTATATTGTGGTATAACCTTGTAGGGTAAGGAAAGCGAAGGCGCGTAAATATGAGAGCGGCTCTCTGTGAAGGGTCGATTCGATGATAAAGGTGGAAAGGGAGCATGTGTGCAAGAGGCTGCTGGATGCTTTTGGGAGGATAACACTAGTGACCAAAACTTAGAGGAATTCCTCGAGAACATCCTATAAATCTTGGGTTAAGTATTGGTATGAAGGTCATGGTTTATGGGAGACCAGCTCCTGGTCCCCCATAAACCATGACCTTACGGAATTAATATGAGCTGTCCTATATTTTTGCGGAGCGAGAATCTGTACGAGAAGTTACACAGACCACAGTTATAATTATAAATTACCAGATGGGAGGAAGGAAAAACAGCTCCTAGATAGAGTCTACACGATGAATGTTGTGTGCATCAATTCGGCGCCCCCGCCTCTCCAGCCTTCCGAATCTCCTTGCAAAAGAATCCTCAAATCCGAGACTTCCCTGCCTTCCTTCCACTCCCGATCGATCATGTAGGCCAAGGTCGGCTGAAATAGGTCTTCTTCTCGAGATCAAAATAATAAGGCTCCTAAGGATCTAGTATGGCACAGTGGCAGAGGAATTTCATGTCTACATAAGAAATTACAGTGCCCTCGTCTGTCTAAAGGTCAAATAATCGACAAGGTTTCTGAAAAAATAGAAAGAAGTGCGGAATCGTGAGATCGTTCATGCCTGAGAGCGGGGGAGAGAGCGAGGGAAGAAACAAGAAACCGAACCAAACCCACTCGAAAACTGAACTTGGAAATCGTTACGTTCGGAGCGGAGGGGGAAGACGGAGATGTAACACAACGCTGCTGTTATGCTCACGGATTCATCGAAGAAACTTGCTCGCGAAGGGCACACCAGGCGCTAGGCAATTGGACCGACTCGTCTTAAGCATACATAATGAAATATCTGAATATCCTATAAGCAATAAACTGTTTTGTATACAATTTTTCAACAACAAGTCAATATGGCCGAGTTGGTCTAAGGCGCCAGTTTCAGGTACTGGTCCGAAAGGGCGTGGGTTCGAATCCCACTGTTGACATTGCCTTTTTCCTCACCTAATGGAAAAGAGCATCGCGAACATAGCTTTCCGATTTATATCATAAGACCAACCCTCCGACCAACAATTTCATTTATAACCATGATATATTTCACTTTTACATCTATATACATCAAGTCAGTTGACTACAGCAAATTGAACATTGAGTCAATATGGCCGAGTTGGTCTAAGGCGCCAGTTTCAGGTACTGGTCCGAAAGGGCGTGGGTTCGAATCCCACTGTTGACATTGCCTTTTTCCTCACCTAATGGAAAAGAGCATCGCGAACATAGCTTTCCGATTTATATCATAAGACCAACCCTCCGACCAACAATTTCATTTATAACCATGATATATTTCACTTTTACATCTATATACATCAAGTCAGTTGACTACAGCAAATTGAACATTGAGTCAATATGGCCGAGTTGGTCTAAGGCGCCAGTTTCAGGTACTGGTCCGAAAGGGCGTGGGTTCGAATCCCACTGTTGACATTACTTTTGTCCAATTGCAGGATGTTTTCCAGCGAGGGCTCCATAAAATGTAAATGAAGTGGCCATAAACCAACGTCCAGGTTGTTATCACAGAAGGAATACGACTCCAGAAACGCTCGATTCACGAAGATTACGTCTGTAACCGCCAAAACCCAGGGGCACGATATATTAAATGAAAATAATATAAAGACGGAAAACATTTTGTTTCAAAACGGATCGTTATGAAACCAAATGGGTACCAGGGGCTCTCACCGCAATAATAATTTGGTATATAAGTCTGAAATTGCCCAGCCTACCGTGTCGTGTACCAACCATAGACACGCCTTCGGTATATCATACGGATCCTGATGAGAGTACTCCGTACAAACTCCACAGTATGCACTAATACATAGGTCCGACGTAGGTTTACAGGCAGTAAAAGACCGGCGGATCCTTTTTGCTCTAATTACTTGGATTTAGAATAAATCACCGGCGGGCGAGGAAATCATCAGCGGCCGAACGCGAACATTTCGGCCGAAACATCGCCCGCGTCATGATGACCAGTCGTCCTGCTGTAGCCACGTCCTCTTCCAGTCCGCGCACTGCTGCAGCTGCTGCCGCGCTCCAAATTGGAGCTGCTGCGTTCTCTAGGCCTCCCTCGCGCTCACGCGCAGGACACTCTTCGTCGATTTGCCAACGGACGAACGCGGGCCTCGAGAGAGAGAAATTGGGTTGCGAGCATCGGTTGGTTTATGGGAGGAGGGCAGAGGAGGTCGGTGGTCGAATCGTAGAGAGTGACGGGGATGGAGCCCGAGGGGAGATTGGCGCCTCTGCGGGTGATGCAGTGGAATGTGTTGGCCGATGGATTAGCTCAATTCGGTGATTTCTGCTGCGGAGGAGCCGAGCGGGTGCCGGCTGACGTTCTGGGCTGGGGAGCGCGGGGGCCCAAGCTGGTGGGCGCCATTGTGGGGGCCTCGGCGGACGTGGTGTGCCTGCAGGAGGTGAACCACTTCGAGGACTTCTTCCTGCCCGAGTTGCGCCAGCGCGGGTACGATGGGACGTTCGTGGCGAAGAAGCTGTCCCCGGCGCTGCAGTACGGGTGTTCCCCCGACGGCTGCGCCATCTTCTATCGAACGAGCAGGCTGCAGCTCGTGCAGAGGGACGTCGTCCTCTACCCCGCCCCTCCCACGGCTGTACCGAATCAAGGCGCCATCGCTTGTCGCTTCAGAGACATTCGAGCCGAGAGGGAGTTCCTCGTGGCGACGACGCACTTGAAGGCCAAGGTCGGGAAGGAGAACGAGCAGCGACGACTGTCGCAAGCGCAATCTCTGATGGATTTGCTCGTGGACCTCACCGGGAGCAGCGGCCTTCCGTGCGTGGTGTGTGGAGACTTCAATGCTCCGCCGGATTCAGAGGTCTACGACTTCGTGCGGCGGCATCCGATGCGCTTGAAGAGCGTCTACGCCTGCAGGAGTGAGCCGTCCTCGGACGAAGCCGGGGCGGAAGAGAGAATCGACTGGGCGAGAAATGGCGGTGCGAGTTCCGAGCCTGCCTACACGACGTGGAAATTCAGGCCCTCAGGGGAGAAGAAGGAGACGATCGATTACATCTGGATGTCCGAGTACAAGGCATTGCGGCCCAGTTCGTGCCTGCGTCTGCCGAGTGAAGACTCTTTGGGTGGGAAGGGCCTTCCCACCAGCGCCATGCCTTCCGATCATTTGCCCCTCTTGTGCGAAGCCGTCTGGACCTGAAAATTTTGGTCGCAGCACCACCACACCGCTTAATAATCTTTCTGCCTTCCATGAGGACAGTATTGCTTCCGCTCGTGAGAAGAAGTTACGAGACCGAGGAGGAACAATTTGGGAGCCTTATATTTTTGACTGCAGGGACAGAAAAACCTCTATGTCCCTGCAAAGACATGTTTGATGAATGACTCAAAGTACCAGAATCGGAAACAAGGTAACTTTCCAGCCCAGACGAGGACGGATAATTATCGGAACACCTATTGGGCAAGTATGAGGGAACACCTATTCTTTGATCGAACGAAATAAAAATTAATTATTCAATGAAAACCAAAGGCGTAACCAAACTGGCCAATTCTGTGGGGTCAAAAACAGCCTGAGCTTTCGGGAGAAAGTGATCGTCGTATGAGTCATCGCAGTGCAGTATTTCTAAGTGGGGACATACGGTTTTGTGAGCAAATAAAAGATCCAGGACGAAGATACCTCCTGCGTGTTGGAAGATGATTCACTCTCGTAGCAGCGGGTCACCATCTTGTGATTCGGTGCATTTCCTTCTTCAGGTGATTCTTTCTTTGTTCTGCGAGCTGTTACATGAGGCCCTCTCTTAAATTTAGTCACCAATGCCACACATCACAGGAAAAAATGGACGCGGAGCAGACCAATGACCGTGTAGAACCGTAAGTGGTTCTCAAAGAATGTCATCGAGCCAGTGCAACATACTAATAATCAGGAGTAGCCGAGGCATCTAAATGGTGCGAGGGAATTGTAGAACTCGCAAAACTCAAATGCTAATGGCTTGCAACAAAAGATAAAAGATTATATTGTTGTTTGGGTAAGAATTGGAGATCACTTCATTAAATCGCCTCGGAGGTCCCGCATCGCGCATTGTAAAAATTCATTTCCTCCGTTGACAAGGGAACTGATAAATCATTCACCACCATACAGTGGAGCCAAAGTTTGACAGGTGAAGAGCGTAACGTCTGATTTAGACGATGAATACAAAGGGCGAAAAATAAAAAACTGATTCACGTTGAACTTGTATTCACTCCGTACACTCCGGTGAAAGAGCGCCAAACTCAAACCAGTGAAGAATCTTACGCATCATGCAAAACTGGTGTCTGGCAATTATAAGAGGCCTTTCTCAGCATAATTAAGCACCTCTACACAGCTTTGTAAAGATATATACGCCTTTTTGACCACTTGCTCAAACTTTTCCATGAGCTGTCTTGACACTCTCCTTCATCAACTCGTGATCGAGATCGCACTTCGGTATCAACTATAGTGCTATCAACGAAGCCTGCGATGTTCTTTACCTAGCATGTGCCTTCTGCGACAGCTGCAGCCAGAAGACACTAAGTTGACTGTTGCAGTCTAGCAGATGGTATATATACAGTCTTGGAAAACTCCTGCAACTCCCGTGACAAGGTTCGTGCGGCGTTCAATCAGAAACATGTAGCACGACACTCAACACCTGCCTCTCTTCCATTCGGAAGACATGTGTACAGTGCTAGCTGCCTACCACAGCTTGGAGAGCAAGGCTACGTTTTATAAGAAGAATGTTTTTCTCCAAACCTACATTACAGATGTTGAGAATAAAATGTGGTTAAGGGTTGGGTTTTCCAACTACTCTCTCTTGTCTTCCTCGGGACCATCGTCGTCCAGACTGAAAACATCCGTGTTCACAGGTTTTCTGTTCTTCTCAGGCTTGACAAGACCTTTTTCTATTTCAACTAATGGTCCACCAGCAGTCAATGCCTGTGCTTCTTCTTCATCGTCTGCGTCACCAAGTTCCTCTGAATACGCATATCTGAACAAAGGTATTACAGACGGCCACTGTCAGGAGAGCAAGTAAATATGCTTAACCACAGTTGATCATCTACAGATAATCCTATCACGTGCTTGCATGTGCTAAAAAACGCGTTTGTTCGAAGAACAAACGCAGACAAGGAAGAAGTGGCACAATCATACTGAAGATGGCCCAACCTGGTAGAGTTTTGGGATGGAGCCCAAAGGAAGCAAATGGTAACGAGAATCAAATACGTGAAGACAATCCAAAATGCTGGAATCACCCATGCCGTCTCCCAACGCTCGCTTAATTTATCAGTGGCCTTGAAGTACAACTGGAAGCGGACAGGTGAAATCATCAGATGTGAACTCTAGAAGCTTTGCCCGTTCAACACTCCACGAAGACATTTGAAATACCCTTAAACACTCTAAAAATACCCTTCAAAACCTCAATCCGAAGTGCATACCAACTCGAACGGAAATTATAACTGCTCATTGTCATCTCTAGACCCTGATCGTAAAACATGTAAATTTTAACCATCTGTGCTTCTCCGTTCGCATTGTATAGGCCGACAGAAACTATGTCCCTTCTCTTCCCGCCTACTCATTCTACCCCCGTGACCAAACCAGAGGGTTCCATAGCCCGCAGTTCCCGCTTTAACTTCCACTTTATCGTGCAATGTTCCCACCTTCAGTGAATTCCAGTCACTACTTTTGTGTAGGTTGCAGAATCTCTTTCCGAACTTATCGAACAAAGAGACACCGCCAGGAAACGCTCAATGCTACCGTCGTCTATGTGAATATCAAAAGCAAGACGAGTTCTGAATCTAAAACAACGCTAAAATTCGAAAAAGTTTAATCTCCTATCCAAAATTCTGCTCAGTGTCTTACCTCGTAACCAATCCACATTACAGCAGCAATAACGGCGATAGCCAAAGTGTTGGTAAACTTCCTGTAAAGCTCCAACTTAGCAAAACGTCTCCTAGCCTGCGACAACGGAGAGCGTGAGCTCGGTTCCGCAAACGCGGAGGCCAAAATTCAGCAGAACTTGTCAATCCAAGTCTACGTACTAGTAGAATGATTTCCTCTGAAATTCGACTTTGCAAGCGACAGTATACACGAAATCTAACAGACTTGACCTAAAAGCAAGCATATGACCTGTTCAAGGCACGTCCAAAGTTTGAACAGCCTACTTAGAAAATTATTTTCTAGGGGTAGATGAGCATCTCTTCTAATCTGCTAGTTAACACCAGACAACACGCAAAGCAGCCTGCGAAGAAAAGTAGTAACCCTACCTGCAGTTTCTCTAAAGTCCTTGAGAGTGAAGTGAATATCCAGAGAATGAAAAACGCGTCAAGAACCGCGACCGGCAAGACGAGGAAGAGTCGCGCACTCCCTGATGCATCATTCACAGTGCCCACATTTTCCATTACATCTAATAGCTCTGCTGCCAAAAAGTAAGTTACTCCAAGCAAGACCACCTTAGATGTAAGTCCTCCAAGAGTTGGAAGCACCACACCATATCCCATGGATACAACCAAGATAAGTAGACGCGACACAGTTTTCTTGACGGCGCCAAATGTTACTGCCCATATGGTGATACCAATTGGCCTCTTTCCGGTAGCGTTGAAGTTGGAGTAATCGAAATACCACAGCGCCATCTCACTCATACCGAGGGCAATGACAGCTGTGATGCAATTCTGTAGCTGCAAGATATCCTTCCAGTAACGCGTGTACTGGATGAACCAGACCAACCCAAGTGCAAGGTATGCCAGTGACATTATCCCATAGAATGACAAGTACGGTGTCATCCGACCTGGCAAATAGCCTCCTGGATTCTTCCACACAGTCTTCCCACTCAGGGTGGTTCCCTGGAGGTCTGGCTCACAAAACACGAAGTACAAAGTGTACATTCCTGTCCTCGGAATAGGAACGGAGTCAGCTTTAAATCTGGCTGTTGTCTCAGAGCCTACGAAATAAGTTGTAATAGATTTCGGCCATTCTGAGTTATCCGCTTCTCTTTGAAAGATGATTTTGCCAACCTCGCAACCACGAATTGCCGCCAAGTCTTTCGTGCAGCAAATGCTTTTCTCCATGCCATCGTCAAAGGAATAACCAAAATTATCCTTGTCCGAGAGCTCAAAGATTACAGCTTCCACTGGAACCTGGGAGCCTTGGGTGGTAATTTTTCCAGCTGATTCAGCTGTCCTCGTCAGTGTGAGAGAGGAATCGAAGCTGCAGGCACAATGATAATCCGGATTAAGCTTTTCACTTCAGATGAATGGGAAGGCTAGATCGTGCTCTAGTTGGCACACCCACAACAACTCGACCGACTCCAAATTAGATGTTAGAAGCCATATACAGCATCTTGTGTCTAATAACTAAGAACCACAAGTTCAAACTATTCAAATCATATTTCACTTCTTGTAGAGCAATTGATGCAGCTTATGACACAAATGGACGCGATGAACATGTACTTTGAAGCAAATATAGTATGGCTCGTCAAAGACCTTCCAAAAATCCCAGAACATAACATCAGAGGACAATGGAATAGGGAGAACTGACTTGATGAACGACTTTCCATTAGCAACACCTCCATGGTTGTTGGGAGCGTTGACAAAGAGCCCCTCACTACCTCCGTACAATAAGAAGGCGTTTCCGGTTTCAGTGAATTCCGCGTTTTCATACTCGTGCACTGATCCTTGTACTTGCTTCGTCCCAATGCTGATTAGACCTAGCCATACCAGAGCTACTACTGCGAAAGACCTACACGACCCCACTTTCGTTGCTGCCATTGTAGGAATTTCTCCAGTCTCGATACTTAAATTCTGCAACTGCGTGAGGTCCCACGGCTGTACAAAGTCTCAGATCATTCGATCTAAACCGAAGGAAGTAAACCTCGAGCCACAATCTAGGCTAGTCTCTACTTAAAACGAACAACAAACCACGATCATCGCTAAGAATTAGACGAAAAGCTCACAGAAACGACGAATTCCATCTCTCGACGCCAGTCACAACACTCCCGTGCCCCGATCAGCCGCAGTCAAAGCCTCGCCAGCAAAAGACATCGGCCCTCCCAGATCCAACACATCTCATCTCACATCCCACGAATCCCTCAATGTCGCAACAAGTCAAATCAACGACCCCTCCCACTTCTCAATCCAACAAAATCAGGCCACACAAACAAGCCACTTACCAAAAATCAAGACGAAACTCCTTCATTCTTGCGCTCCCTCCCGCCGCGAAGCCATCTCCCACAATGCCCCAGCGACGCCACCACCACACGGAGCAGCAACAGAAGTGGTAGCTGAAGCTGTTCGCCTCGCCAGACGAGGGTTATATAACGAACCGGATCGAGCAACGAGACTCGTCAAAGAAGCTGCCGACCAATCTGCGCATGCCCCCTCTCCCTCACTCTCTCTCTCCCTCTCCTTCCCTCCCTCGCTCCCTTCGATTCCTTCCTTGCTCCCTTCCTCCCTTTCGTCGCTCTCGCCTGCGAATAAAGAATCGGAAAGCAAGAACGGCAATAATGTGGCTCGCTGGCTTTGAGGTCGCGAGCATCAAATCCAAGCTTCGTGCTCCGATGTCTCGTTCGCCCGCGGACGCTCCCTTTCTGCCGCGCTCCCCTCCTCCCTTTCCCCCGCGCAGTCGACGACGACGCCCGCCCGACTGAGCGACCCGCTCCCCCGCCTCCGGCACAGCCCCTCCCTCTGCCTCTCCCTCTCCGATCCGCTCGGCCCGCACTCCCCATCGCGCGGCTCCGGTTCCACGACGCAGAACGGCGCAGCAGGTCACGGTCCCAGGCGGCCGGTCGGTCGGGATAGCCCGTGGCGACCGGGCGCGCGTGCTCAGGCCCACAGGGACAAGTCCCGCGAACTGGGGTTGCGCCTCCGATGAGAATATCGGATCCTGGATCGGGATCGTACGGCTCCAAGGCGTGGAGACCGATGAAGGCTCTGACCGGCATTCTTCGGCATTCCCCGGCAGTGGCATTACTGCCAACCCACCGATTCGGGTTTGACCCATGGTTTGTGATTCTGCGGCCGGATCTAACCCAGAGCTTTGAGGAGCTAGCCGGTCGTCTGGTCAACCTCGCTACCGGCCACGCGAAAGGAGGACCTCGGTGCCCCATTGCATGGAAAGGTGTGTGGGGAAAGGGGGTACCGTGGTGGGAGACAGCCAAGAACTGAGCGGCTTTCGATGCGGGGAGCTCGACCGGCTTTTAATGCTATTCTCTCAGACGATGACCGGCTGATTTCCTGAGGAAGATTGGCTCGATCCCCGGTACAGTAGGCGGACTGCCGGCACGGTGAACGGAGGTTTACTCTTGGTTCAAACATGACCGCCCCTGCGTTGTCCTGTACGTGGTACATTCCGTCCTTTCACGTCACGGTTTCCTACAGGACGTTGTGGCTCAATGATCGAGATCTTCTCCTTACCGCGTGAGCGAATGCATGAAACGCAACATGACTCTAAGATACCATGTAAGCTCTTTCAATGTTCTAAAGTTGTCAATCATGGACACACCAACATTGCATATCTGTCATCGGGAAAGAAAACATCAGTCATTTTTCACATCTATAATCAATCAAATAAACGCCTCCTCGACAAAGTGTATCTAACTTACTCATATTTGATCTTTAAAGTGAGAAATGCATTCTTTATTTTGAAAATATATTTGGATGTATGCTTTTCCATTTTCTTTGCTTAATGATTTTTCCCCTTTTACTACATGAAATTATTATTACTGTAAGAAAAATCAGAATTTGAATATGTAATATGTCATTTTAAAAAAAATTTATTGTGAAATTCTTAAATAATATTTTCAATCACAATAAATATATTTTTACAATGAAAAATTATTTAACAAATATGAAAATAGTAATACCATTAAGTAAGATCAAATTCATCTGGATATTTAAAGATAATCAATTCTAGATATAAACACCTTGAATGGCATAAAATATTTATTTTTAAAATTTTGTACTAATACAAAAAAAATTTGTCATTTATTTTTTGCACATTTAGATAAAACTTTTCTAAAAATGAACAATTATGTCTTATGCTATAGCATGCAAGTTTTTGTGAAAACAAAAACATAATTTTCTAATGTTTGATTTGCAAATAAATCTTTGAAATTTCAATAAAATATTTAATATCATCATCATCTTTGAAATATTTTTATGAGTTTTAACTTTCAATTTTCCATTGTAGCAATACATATTATGAAAGAAAAAATGTAAATTTGAATATTATCAAATAAAAATTAAGGTCAACACATTAGGTTTGAGTATACATATATGCATTATTCACACCAACATCCCATATGAGTTTTCAAATATGTTAGAATCATATGATCTGTCTCTTTAATTTTCATCAAAAAAAGCATATGCTCATTCAAGGATATATCTATCATTGATCACATAAATTAACAATAAAAAGTAATAAATTCAATTTTTTAATATTCTGATATGTAATGTTTTAAGACTACGATTTTATCAAATAAATTTATCAAAAATATATATATTCATACGAATGTTTTCACGAATTTTTAATATAATTTTTTAAGTGCAATAAATCTAAATATATATTATTAATCTTGAATAATTTTTTTACAAAATATAGTCATATAATCCTATATAAAATTTTTACATAATTTTTTCTTTTAATTTTTTGCATCATATTTGTAATTATGATTATGAATTTTGATTATTATTATCATAATTCGAAATTTTGAAGATTTTTTCTAGATTTTTCTTATTTGATGTATTAATTTTTTACTTTATTTTTAAAAATTATTTTTTTATTTTTTTATAGTCTAGTTAAATCAAATGTCTCTAGTTAATAAATTATTTTAATATAGTCTAAAATTTTGCATGTAGATTAAATAAAATTTGAATTATATATTTTAATTTTGTTACTATACTCTATCAATTTTAACTTTTTAGTTTAACTTTTTTTTAAATGCTACACACAGATTTTGTAATAGAAATTAAATACAAATAGTCAAAATAAATTATTCTTATAACCTTGTAACAATTAGCAATCATTAAATTCATAGTAACCAAGTTGATATAGAATTGTAAGATTGTGATAAAGATGTAATTGCAATTGACTATCAAGCTTCAATCTTTTAACTAATTTATACGATCAATCTTTACTTCATATTGATTTTATCCAATTGAAATCTTTATCAAACATAAAATATTCTATCAAAGATTCTAACAATCATATCAAATTGTTGAATTTTTGAAATCATTAAAATTGAATTTTCAAATTTTAATAGTTAATTTTAATATTTAAACTTATTTTGTATGCATTTTTAACAATTAATTTGCATTTGTAATTGATATATTTCAGTTGAAATGTTAATTTAATAGAAAGTTAAAACTATTAGGTTTTAATTGATTATGTTTTATTGTTTAAAAAAATTCATAATGCTACTTCAATCATTTGAATTGCAAATTTAAAAAAAAATCTTGCAACAACATATTTGTACATATTCACAACTACTTAAACTAATTTAGCATAATATTTTTCTTATAATATTAAGCTTTATCAAATTTGATTGCTAAAAAATTACCTAACATACAATAATCATTCAAAATATTTTTCACTAAAAATATTAACTTTTTTCATTCTTATTATCTGTGAACGGTATAATTGAGAAAAACATTCAAACACTCATGAGGAAAAATGTAAAGTGGTTCACCCTCGAAGAGGGGGGCTACATCCACCCAGAACTCAAGCATCTTTACTTCAAGTCATGTCGAGAAAGACGTACTATACATGGAGAACCCTTGGGTACTTATTTCCACTCTAGGCGACAGACCGTCTTAGCTATAAATAACTAGGACTCGAGGTTACTTCTTAACTAGAGTTAACCTCAACAATTTCCCCCTTGACTCACGTTAAGAAACAGTAACCTCCATAACCTACATTATTACTCCGCGGGAAATTCCAGACGGAAACCTAACATAAGGCCTCTCTTTACACAAGAATTAACTAGAACTAAGTAGTAGTCATAACAAGATAGAGTAATAACATAAAGAAGTAACTAACAATCAGCTAGCGTAGAGAGAACAAAAATCGTAACGTATATAATTTTTCCGCGAAAAGTTCTAGAAAAAAACATAATCCAATGCTACTCTTTACACGAGAGTTAACTAGAACTAAGCCGTAGTTATCACATGATAGAGTTGTTGTGGAAATACATATCGCCATACATTTTACATCGCTGACATGCTACTCACATACACACACATATGACACAAGAGCGTACACACTCAAATGTACCACAACTTGATATGCATGTTATTCGAGGCCGGTTTGCCGAAGCGGTTTAGGGTTAGGGTTTAGGGGAAAAGCCGTTAACACAACGGCTTACTTGAGAAATCGATGTCCATCCATGGCGTTGAATTGCAAGACACCAGAAGAAGTGTGGAAGAGCCATACATCGAAACTCGACAACTTGAAGGTATTTGTTTGTGTGGCGTACATGCACCAAAGAGAGTACAAGCTAGATCCGAGAGCAAAGAAGTGCATGTTTGTTGGTTATCCAGAGGGCGTGAAGGGTTGGAAGCTTTGGTACAAAGAAGTTGAAGCTTCAAAATGTGTCATTAGCCGAGATATTGTCTTTAGAGAATCCGAGTACTACATGGCCGTGGCTACTCAAGAGGCGAAGAATAGTGTGAAGGTAGCTAAGGAAAGAGTTGAAATTGAGATGGAGCTATTGGAGTGATGTAGCGATGAGCGGGAGGATAAAGACGAGGCTAGTGATGAGGGTCACTTGGAAGAAATTGAAGAGTTAAGCGGTGAAAGTCAGGACAATGACCTAGACTCGTACCAATTAGCAAGATACCAACATAGAAGAGAAATCCGAGCTCCGAAGAGGTATGGTTACTCAGATTTAGTTGCATTTGCGTTGATTGCCACGGAGGAGTTGGAAGATTTGGAACCGATGTCGTATCGGGAAGCGGTGATGAGCAAAGACAAAAAGCTATGGAAGTGTGCGATGGAAGAGAAAATGACATCACTTGACAAGAACAAGACATGGGTACTTGTGGACAAGCCTAAAGATCAACTTGTAGTTGGTTGCAAGTGGGTGTTCATACGAAAGGAAGGCATTGTTGTGTTTGAAAAATTGCGGTGTTTGAAAAGCGAGATTGGTGACTAAAGGCTTCACACAAAGAGAAGGGGTCGACTTCAACGAGATCTACTCCCCATGATGAAGCACACATCCATTCGGGTTTTGCTCACTTTGGTAAATCAACATGATTTAGAGCTTGAGCAAATGGATGCAAAGACCGCGATTCTCCATGGAAATCTTGAGGAGAAAATTCTAATGGCTCAACTGGAAGATTTTTTTGTCAAGATTGGAGATGAAGATAAGATGTGTCATCTTAGGAAATCTCTCTACGGCTTGAAGCAATTTCCGAGACAATGGTACTTGAGGTTTGACAAGTTCATGGTACGAAATGGGTTCTCGCGGAGCAATTTTGATAGTTGCGTGTATGTCAAGTGGGTTGATGATAGTGGAATATTCTTGTTGCTATATGTTGATGACATGTTGATAACGTCGAAGAACAAAAACAAAATCCACAACGTGTTACGGCTTTTGGGAAGCGAGTTTGAAATGAAA